CCCTCCCCTCCCTCTCCTCTCTCTCTCTCTCTCTCTTCCTATATACGAGACGGTACGAGCATTTATTAATAGAGATTAGAGTCCGCGTCGTGTGGTGCCGTGTGCAAACGCCCTGCTGCGAGAGCGAGATGTGTAACAGAGCAGTCTGAGTCAGAGCGCGTCGCGGAAAAATAATTCCATTCGATATTGCACGATATTCTCGAAGGGAGAAAATTGCTTGGAAAAAATCGTCGGTGAAAAATCGGTTGACAATCGCGCCGCTAGCGCGGTTCGATCGACGAAAAGTCTCGGCTGCTCACTTGTGATAGTTGCATCGTCGCGAGAAACGCATCCGAATCGCGTCGAAGTCGATCTTTCGAGTTGCGTCGATGGCTGACCCAACTGAATAAGTGCTTTCGGAAATAGGGTTTTTCGCGTAGATATAATTGTGCGATTCTATGTGTGCGCGCGCTAATGACGTTTTACGACAATCGGGCGTGTGCATTGCGCGGTTCTACGCGGTAATCGCGTTATCTAGCTGGTACGAAAGCATTATGATCTATAAATCCGAAAAAATCTTTACTTAGAACGCAAAACGTCTACGAGATAAAGCACATCTAAGAGACGTCTTCAAAATTGGAGTTATTTTTTATATACTTTTATAACTTCTTTTAGAAATTCGTGTTTGTTGGATCTATGTTGTCTACTACATTCGTGTGCCAGAAATTAATTGCTGAAGAAAATATAATTGGATGTACCAAAACTCATTATCAAGTTTGGTTGTAATTAAGCCTGTTAAACTCTCTCTAAACCCAAAATTCTCCCTACAGTTCTGCTGTTAATCACAGTTAGATCTGAAATTATTGATCTATAAGTTTATATACAAAGTGCCCTACCGAGTTTTTTTTTACATACGTGTGTTCATGGATATTGACAATATTAAAAATTAAATCAAATTAATGAAAAAATTTATCTGCTCTATACTTTTTCTTAATTTTTACCGCTGCGAAAATAAGTTTCATGATTATAAAATAATTTCATAAATCAAGATAAATAGAGAACATTAACAATTCTTTCATATATCTGAACGTTTAGCACTGTTCTGAACCAGCAAGCACTATTAGCAATTTATAATTGTATATTTTATAATCAATGTTACGCTATATTTTTGCATTTTCATGCGGTTTCATGTTCATATGAGTTACTCTTTCTTGTTCTGCCAGTAATGTTTCAGATATGGAGCTTTTAAACGAGCTCTAGAGCTATAATCCGTGATAATATCTCTTTAACTTCTCCTGTGTGTGTGAGAGCGTACGAATATTCTACATAAATTATTCCGACGCGCGTGCTTTATACATGATATCCAATGTCGGATTATTCGTGTGTTCGGATATGATTATTCAGTCAATGTATTGGGACCAAGTTTGACAGAAGGCGTTGCGGGAGGAATGTAAATAATAAAGAACCATAAAAGAGAGATAGGATTAAACAGAAAAGACACGCTAAGAGTGTGCAGACGCATATTACATCCGAGCGCTGCTTATATAGTGCATCGCTGTGCGTCGGAATTGTGATAACGAGTCATCGTTATCTACGTTATCGCGGTGTCGTGTCACACTTCCTTGAATGATTTAGTGTGCAAGCACGAAAACGCTATTATGATATAGCGGATACCGGGAGCGCGAATGTGACGTACCTCGTCGACGAATGATGTTAGTATTGCTGTTGTGCATCATCATGAAGATAGCAGAATTTTCCGTGGGCCGGATGAGCCCGCCGCCGCTGACGGTGCCGGCGCGGCCGCCGCCTCCCACTTGCAACAGGCGGTGTAGGCGATGCATTCGATACAGAAGTCCTTCGCCCAAGTGTGGACATCGCCGACAATCTTACGGCGACAATAAATATATTACACGAAAATGTAAGGCGTTAATTTAATGCATAAATGCGATAAAGTAAAAAATGTAATTATAATTTACTATAATCTAATTTTAATTAAATTAATAATTTAGTTTAAAAAAAACAAAATTATACTTGTCTAATATTATATGGGAAATTACTTATTCTTAATTTTCTTAAATCTCAAATTTAGAATTCAGATTAATGTATTCGATCTGTTAAAAAGTTTGGTGCGATTTTTCGATGAAATTCAATCATCTTATTAATGAACACATCGCTTTAACTAATCAATGAAATTATTTCCATCGTTTTCGATGACCTTTCGAAATTGGGTTGACTATGAGTAAATTGCGGATTGCATCATCAACCTTCATAAAGCGTTCAGACCGTGACTTGACATTTGCCTAGCTAGCCTCCCCCCATAAAAAAATTTCTTACACCAATGATTATTAAAGCATCGAAAAAGATACACTCTGTTAGAATGTTCCAATATACTGGATTTCATCGAACATTCTACTATAAGATGTTACGGCAAAAGTCTAAATATGTATAAATACACACAAAAAAGAAGTCGCCATTTACGAATTTTCGAGAAACTACCAACTCATACGTACCGAAATTGCACGAACAAAAAGCAGAATCGCTATTCTGGTTTGCTTGTGACTAATTCAGAAACCGTATATGCAAACAATTCGAAGTTCACATTCACAAACGCGTCATGGTTTCCATTATAGTCACTTAGATTTCAGCAGACTTGTGCTTTTACGACGAAATCTTTATTGGCGACGAAAGTCGATTTAATCCGTAATTTTCGCGTATTTATCGTCAACGGCCAAATCCTCCCGCGCGTTCGAATATAGCCATCATAATTACTGATAGATAGATGTGAAGTTATGTGATATTGCATATAGAAAATAAAACAGTTATGCAACTTTGAATAAATTACACTAGGTTTAGAAAACTTATAAACAGTTGTGTCCAACTGTTCAGCAATAATTACTATGGAATATTATTATAGATATTCCTAGATCTGTTTTTTATTTATTTATTTAAATATTAAAATAAATTAGTTACTTAATTGAATGTTAAAATAAAATTAATTCAGATAGCAAATAAAGGGAGCAAAAAAATTATATACCAAAAATTGAAATGCAATTAAGCTAAATGCAAAAAGAATTTGTGTGTATATATTGGAATATTAATGATTTGCAGGATCAATATCAAATAAAATAATCAATCTGTATAATTAACGCTTTGTTATACACTTATTTCGCGTGACGTGCAAAAAGTGTGAGAAGGTGCAGCTAAAATGAACAAATCTAATCTCTTACCAAGCAATGTGCAACCATAACCTGCCATACTTTCAAGTGCAAAGAATTCGTACGAACGTAATTATGCATATCGTGTGTGCGCGCATATGCGCGAAACCAGCACGGTCAAGATTGCTATAAGGAGAAAGAGAGAGGAAAACGTTGAGGAGCGCCGCGCTAGTATTACGAAATTGTGATGCGCGGGTCGTGTTTTTCCACGACATTTATGACGCGAGGTGACGAACAGCTGAGCCCTACTACGGTGCGATTTCCTTGGCAAACTCTCGTTACATTGTCATACTGCTGATGAAAGCTGCGACATAACAACTCCTGTAAGCGCTCTTCACTCCGTATACACGCTCTCCCGAATATTCATCGAATCCCGTTGCTAAATATTTCATCGCGATACATTCCTTTAATCAAGATTACTAATTTTATAATTTTATGTAGGATACGTCAGAATATAGAAAGTGCATTAAGCATATATTTACGTATTTACTCACAATATCATTACAATGTGTTTGTGTTAGCACTCGTGTAAGATTATGTAAATTTTTATTCTTTCTACAATACAATGACCTAGTTTTTCTCTTCAGTTGTAGGAGGAGGAGTTACAGTCATGGAAGAGCCACAAACTCCAGGATCTGATTGCAATTCTAACCCGGCGACAGATTCCATTCAGCAAGATTTAGTTGGCTCCGAGTTTGTTCAAGACAATGTTGAATATCAATGGTTTATCGATTATGGGTGAGTAATTCAATACTTGCGTCAATTTTAGTGACGTCACTGTATTCTGATATATATATATATGTAAATTTTAGATATAGAGATGGAGGATTACATATCCATCCCAGCGTTCTTTCATCACTTTCTGCATCCTATTCTCCCAAGGACCTGGGTTATTACGATGATCTCGCTCGTAATTTGGATGCCAATCTGGCAGAGATCGACATGGAGAGTTTTCGTACAGCTGACATTCATACCCTGCTTACAGCTCTACCTGTCATGTGCACAGAACCAGTTCAACATTCTGAAGTAAGAACTTTGTACATTAATTAAATTATCTATTAATCATTGCAAAGTCATCTGCGTCAAGCATAAGCTGACATTGAATACACAAAATATGGGAAGATGTATCCTGAAAATCGTAGAGCAATCAATTTCATATTTCTTTCACTGTTTCGTCACAAATCTACAGCAATTTGCGCAAATTTTTGTATTAATAGGAATCCAATTTTGCGCAAGTTACATGTTTTACTTTTAATTTTTTATACAATATTTCTAAGTCTGGTATGTGTGTTCATTATCGCCACAGTTTAACTATCAAAGGGAACAGTATGCCAGTATATCTGGATCTGTCATGGAAAAGCTTGACATCGGTTCCTCCATCAGCCCTCATACCAGTAGCCAGGTATGGCAATGGCTGATAAATGCAAAAGTCCAATTGCTATGAACAGTATCCCCATACATAAACATTCACCCAACACTAACAATATAACATCCAAACTGCTTGTATTCTCTTGCATGAATATAAATGTGTTATAACATTAGACTTAATAAGAATCAAGTAAAATTCTACTATATATATAATTCTCAATAATTGAATTGAAGCTTTTTTAGCAAATGTATATAATTATATTTAATATGACTTAAAACTTTTAATAATAGTTTATGGATGTATCATGAAAAAATCAGTATATTTTATGGTTCCACTATTTCTATAGTAATTGCATATTATTATTTACAGGGGGAAGATTCGGCGTGTTCCACGGCTGATACAATATCCATATGCAAGTCATCGTTGCTGTTTTCTCCAGTAAAAGAGACACCAATGCTACCACCAGGTGGTAGCTACAGTGTGGATTCGCTGGATTGCGAGGATATGCTACTCACTTGTCAAACAAATAATAAAAACAACTATACTATTGCTTTCGAGGGCAGCATGACTATGTATTCGGATGGTTCTCAAGATTTTGAAAATCATGGTAACGCAAACATTGTACAACCAGACTAAGCACAAATTGTTTATAAATGTCTTTAAAATTATTTAACTTTCAAAATCTTTCTACTTCTAATCTTTTTCTGTTTCCCATTTTAGTTACATAATTTATATTTATTATTTCTAGATAAACACAAGACATACGAATCGCCAGATGTATTCTACGATAAGCAGAAAGATATAAAAGCTATGCTGGATTTATCAATGGCATGCTCAGATTCGAAAATATATACAACATGGAGTAATTTGAAACATTCCTCCATGAATAAAGTGATAACTCGTCATCCTTCTGGTAACAACAACACGCTACCAGATATTTCACAAAGTGCTGCTAATCTGACGCTTGGTGGGATGAGCAAACGAAGTCAAAGCTTACCGGATCTTTCTCGCGTTCGAGAATTCCAACATACTAATATACCTCTTAATTTTAGTGTAAGATACAAGTAAATTAATATGCGACTCACAATCATACTTTATGTAATTTTGCAATATACAATTTTTTCTCGATGCTGCAGGTTGATTCTGCCGAATCAAGCAACCACATGCAACGGCTGCAAAGATCCGGATCCGCGATGAGCCGTTCGACAAACGCGGAGAGCTCGGACAACGGGGAGAACACTAGTACAAAAAAGCTGCAGAATCTCAGTCTCGTCAGACTGTTCATGAAGCAAAAGAGCATGAGCGTGGAGGGAATGAGCCTTACCTTGGATCAGTCAGATTCTATTAGCGATAATAGTGGCTGGCCCACTAGCAACAGCGGTAGCGATAGCGCAACTAATACGAACACTCAGATACAACGGCAAAACGGTCAAGATAATATCTGCGATCGTCGTGCACACGAAAATGATTTCTCCATCAATTGGATCAAGCGCGATTTGACTAATAATCGCGATATGGAAAATCAAACGGAAAATTTAAACGTGAAATGCACGTCACGAAACAGAGGCAATAAAATTGAAATGACGTCATCTGCGTCGGTGGAAGAACTCTCAGAAAGTATGTCCAAGGAAAGTGTGTCGGGCACAGGCGATCAGCGAAGCTTCGATATCATCAACAGCCCCTTCGAACATGAACAGAAGGGCGGCTGGGTCGGCTTTGTGGAGAAGAAACACCCGATCTGCCGAACAATGGGAATACAGGCGAACACAGAAACGGAGGACAACGCGGTTCAAACCTCTTTAATTTTTACCAAGGACAAATACGGGCCTCTCTTGCAAGAAACGACAGTCAATAAGAAACCCGTTTACGTTGTGTATCCCAATTACACGCTACCTGATCTGTCGTTTCTCAAAGGTAAGGATACCAAAGTCGATAATATTGCATTGAAGCCACACACGTTCGACAAGAACAAAATGGAGTGGAAACGCAATGTTCGTTCGAGCAGACCGTTTTCGTGCAACGACATCGACGCTTTGCGACAACGCGGATTCGCGCATATAAAGGATTGGGAGTCGTTGACATTCTTGTTGCCGAACGAATACAAAAAGATTTTGTACGACGTGCCGGAAATATCCAAGTATATCAATATCAACGAGGAAGTCAAGCGACCTCTGTTCTGCTTGTCTCCCCCAATGCGCCACAAGACTCGACCTATCAGCGAAATCGTTCCAAACAACACTTCGTCGACGAGCAGCACCGCGACGCAACCGTCTTCCGGATACAGAGGCTCGTCGACAATTTTGACTGACTCGTCGACAAACCAGCAGCCATTGTCGAACAACACAATCAATCCGTTGTACCTGTATCGTTACGACAGCATCAGTTCGGAGGCCAGCTTGGTGAACAATGATAAGAAACTGCATAGGTTCAATCAAACGAGGCAAGCTTGCCCATCACTTCCGAAGCGATCTGTTTCGTTGCCACAGGGCGAGGGAGAGCCCGACTTTAACAACAGCAAAGTGCCACCGCGACCGCCGTTGCCGAGAAGCATTTTACGAAAGAACAAAGTTCTCGGCAGTAAACGGTACAGTATGTTCGAGATGGGAGACGTGGGCGAGCAATCGGAGGAGCAATCTGCGGAGGTGAACAAAAGAATGTCCCTGCAGGAGCCGTATTATATGAACAATGATTTGCAGTTGCGTAGAACGATCGATTCGGAGAAAGATGTCGATGAAACGGAAGCGGATAGGTATTTTAAAGGTAATGTATCACTTGTCTGAATTTTGACGATATACGTTTCGATTGTTAACATTATGTTTATTTAACGCTTGGCGATCATTATTGCAGAGAAATTGATGAACGAGATGGCGAATAACGCGAACGTGAAGTCGGAAACTTCTCAGCACAGCGACGACGATATTAAGCAACTGGAGGAATACCTGAAACGCAGCGGCTTCTCGTCCCAAAGCAGTGACGGTGACGAGAACGCTGAAGTTAAAGTGAGATCATATGTGAGGAAATTCTTAGCTCTCAGAATGAACAAAGATCCACTTGTTAGAAACATCGATATGGGAGACTCGCAAAGAAAAACCGTCAGTTTTGCTGTACACCAACGGAAGAAACATCTAGACGCTAAGGTAAAGCGCTGGGCTAATTTCAGCACTAACAGCACTTTGTGACTTTTATGTCCTTAACTCTTGTTTGTCCATTTCAGTCAAGTAATCTCAATGTCGCTGTAAATGAACAAAACCAGGATCAGGCGGTTGAGGATAGATCGACGGAGCTAGAAGACAAGAAAAGTACGCGCGTTTCGTTAAGCTATTAAGTAAAAGTATATCGAAATCCTTCATGTGATTCATCTTTTTTTTTTTTCCAGAAATGGTGTCGTCTGTAAAAAGAGCAGTGGACCTGCTATTAAAATATTGGAATGCCGATTCCAATCACAGTCGTCCTAATTATAATGAAAAGAATGAATGTGCACAGATCTGTCTGAGCAATTTATGCCCGGCTTTATACGCTATAATGTCGGATGGCTTGAAACCCCATTTGAACTCCACTTTCGGACCAATTACTAATAGCGTTTGGCAGGTCGTCGAAGCTAGTTCTCAGCAAGGACCTCTTACGAAAACATTGAATGAACTAGTGCAGAGAATTAATGGCGAAGATGTTATTACAGAAGGAATGCTAAAATTCCATGCTTTTGTATTCGGCTTGCTAAAGTAAGTTGGGTCAATTTTCCAAAATATGTTGAATCGCAATGCAATTCTATCTTTTTGTTCGATTAAATCGCTTGTTACGATCACCTTTCTTCTGTTTCAGTCTAAGAGCTCTGGATGCCTGGTTTGCATATCTATGTACACGTGAATCAATTCTACGGAAACATTATAATAACAACAGCTTATTCGTCGCAGCTTTAGCCAACACTAATGTTCGAGAAATCGTCGATTCATTATTATATATTTTGAATCCACTTGCATTCTGTCCATTTCATCTGGATCTTCTCTATCAGTATCGTCAATTGCAGAATAGCTTTGGAAATCTAAATAGTCACACTGTAAATGTAAGTAAACTTAAGGAAACATCATCCGACTCTTTTATGCCTGATAGATTCATGTGATGTTATACGATATTGCAGGCCATGAGCTTTAGAAACACTGATCTGAAAGACCTCGAGAGTGAAAAATCAGAACCCTGTGGAATGATTTCCAGTCCGAAGAAGGCACGACCAAGATCTTGCATTGCTTACAACGACGATAAATGCGGCATCATTCACAAAGGTGATCTGCAGAACGCAAAGAAACGTTTCAGCGCCATAGGCTCAAAAGCGTTTTACGCATTGGACAAGCTGACCTCCGAAGACTCCGAGGATTATACAGACAGTCTGGAACACTCCCCTCTCAATAGGAAGGCGAGCAAGCAGCCGCAGCACTCGAAACATACGAGTTCTGATCCTAAACTCAACGACGACGACGGTGTCCCTGGCGAAATGAGATTCAGAAAACTTCAGGAAAAATGGGAATTGATGATCGGAAAGGACGGCGGTAAGACTCAGTCCACCGTAACGACGCCTCCGTCGCCAGTTCGGACATACGGGGCGTTGGGGAAGTCGAAGATACCCAGGCTGCTCACGTTACCGGTGAAGCAGTCAAACGTCGCGACGACTGTCGCCGGGAAGTCGATGTAAATCACCGATGTCGGGAATCCCTTCGTTGAAGAAACCCTCCACGTTTTCCGCAACGAAGACGACGCCGAAAAAGCCTGTGGACGCGAAGACAAGAGAGGTGACGCGCCGTACCAGCCGCGTGGATCAGGACACTCTAGGCGGCACACGAATTCATACCGCACGCCCGAGTTCCTTACCCTACAAATCGCACGGAATAACGTCGAACGAAAGGAACCTGATCTCACCGCAGAGACGAGCCGCTTCCACCTCTCTACCGCGTCCCAACGTTACCGCCACTTCGAGAACTCCAGTTTCGAAACCGTCACACAAGTAAGTATCGACGCTCTACAAATATTTAATGTGTAGAAATTGATAAAATGAGTATCCTTGAGAATCGACTGTTTTTTCTTACGTTCAGGCTATACATTGGTTGCAAATATTTGTCATTTATGTATAAATTTAATTTAAATTTCTCTTTGTTTGCGCTGCGCTTTGCGATTTTGTTACTCTTTTGCTTTGTATTTTAGCATTTTTTCGTTCTTCTTTTCTTTCTTAGATCCGTACGATAACGGTTCGCGCGTCTCGATTGCAGAGAAGTCCGCACCGTCACTCACAGGATACCATCAGACACCGGTCACCTCTCGTTTGCGGAGGGGGAGAGATTGAAAGTAATATTAGAAGTAGATAACAAGTGGCTATTGTGCGCGAAAGGCGATCGTAGAGGTTTGGTACCGCGAGCATGCGTGCACAGTATTCAAACTTAGCCCCTCTACTCGATAAGACTTCACGATCGCAAATATGGTCCTAGACAGCAGCCGCAACTGTAATATCACCCTCCGAAGCCGAAAAAGAGAACGAGTTGCGAAGACAAGCTGAAGAGTTCAAATTACCTATCCTCGAGACGATGCAGCAATGATGTACAGTGTATTAAAATTAATTTTAAGCCGTACAATATAATACGCATTATCACGCGCTTGTAAAGTTACTTTTAACCGAAGTTTAAAGTTTTAACTGAGACACACCTTGTTTCTGTCGAAACGCAATAATAGTATTATCGCTAGCGACGCCATTGACGAGATAGTGGTATCACCTAGTCAGAGGATTCTCGAATGACACTTTACATTTAGTTCGTTTTCATTTGAGTATGGTATACGAATGCGAGGATAAGACGATTCGATAGGTCCTCGACGAAAAAAAGAACATATAACAGTGTGTAACGATCTACACATATTATGAATGTAACTGTGATCCTAGTAAATAGGCGATTAAGTTTATTAGTATAATCGCGCGCTGTATATTTTGTTCCGATGTTTATATACTGTGACTTTGTAATTTATTTATGTCCATTTTTGCACAATGTGTCGCGCATCAATGAATCCTCCATTCTGGTTTTATTCGATGTATCAGCCGTCAACGGCATACACACCCTTACGATGGCGGCAATCACATTTTTTACATGCTTCGTGTATTCCTGATATATATATATACATATATATATATATATACATGTTAAGATATATGATATCATCAAATAAAAAGTCTGTTGTGAATTATATCTAGCGGTATATATTTGAATGCTACGTATATCAATCGCAGTAATCTGCTTAACGTGATCAGCATAGAATATTTTTTTAATTTAACTTTGGGCCAAACTTTAACAAAATAACTGTTGCGACTTATGCCTCGTGTCATTATAAAGGTAAGTAAAGTAAAAATGAAAAAAATTTACTCTTGAAAAATTTACAACATTACCTAAGCGAATAATTGCGTGCAACGTTCTGTCTCTCTGACAGTTTTCTTATATAAAAATTGTGTGCATACAGTTGGCTACAGCTATAATAACAATAGCGAAGACAAAGCGTTACAATCAAGTCTCGCAAATACTCTGCGCTCACCGAATAAAATGTCTCGTCACGCGGACGAATCAATATTACATAACAAATATTGTGCAAATATTTATACAGTTGAAAATGTACCGATTGTACCTGTTGATATTTTCGTTGAAGCTTAATCGAGGCATTACGTCGCAAAAGCAAAGTAATCATATAATCTTGTTTAATCGAAAAATCATGAGTCATTGATATTTCGTATATTTCGTACATTTGCGATTTGCTTAGAATAAAAATAATTAGACGAAATGAAGTGGCTCTTTGATATAAAATCTCGATAGGATAAGGGCCAATAAAAGCCAGGCCATCGGTTACGTAAATATTGAAATGGTTTCTTGTAATCGTTATCTTCACGATTGTTATCGAAATAATCATTACCGGTCCATCAAGGAATTGTATATATAAATGCGCAATTAATACCATTTGTCAGTTAACCGATATTTAGTGTAAACTTGAGCGACCTGATATCAACAAAGAAGCATGAAGAGCATCGTAGCATTGTGCCTCTTGGCTGTACTTTGTACCGTAAGTTTCTTCATTAAAATATCATTTATGATGCAACATGTTTGGATTTATCATTCCGCAGAATGCTAATAAGCAAAATGCTTATAAGCAATATGTTTATAACAAATAAGCAAAATGCTTATAAGCAAAATTATCAAGATTTCATATAAAAGTTTAATCATAATAAATACTAAGTATAATTCAAGTTTACAACATTTAATACTTTAAATTAATTAAATCATGAAAAAAATGGTTAAAACAAAATGTTCGTTCAACTAATAAACATTTAACATAAAATTATCTTTAATGCCGATAGATAGCTACGAGAAGGTTGACTCTATTCATCTCTCCTTTAAATATTCGAAATTTTAGTTATCTTGCATAATATTCTTATCTAATTTCAAGTATTAATTCAAATAATTGACAAAAGTTGGAAAAATATGCAAAAAAAGGCCGTTATTAATTTAATATGATCAATATATAAAAATTTTTTCATCTTAGGTCAATGCCATTCCAGTATCAGACGACTTAGAATATCTAAGGCGTCAAGTGAGAGAGACAATATATACCATCGACAATGATATACTTCGACTTGAGCGTCTCCGTCTTCACACCGAGGAAGACACCGATCGAAAAGTCAACGATAGATTAAATGAAGAACAGGATAACTACAGAGAGTTGAAGGATACATTATTAAAAGATTTAAAAGTGAGTATAATTATTTGACTCGATTCGCAATGTTGGTGCAATGCACTGACTTTCTTCAATTATTAATTTATCATCTAATTACTGACATTGAATAAACCAGCTGTCAGACACAAGTTCTTTAATAAATTCGTCTGGATTATTAAATTTCTAAGAGTGTGTGTAGACAAAATGTTACTTTGATATTATTGAAAAAGAAGAGAAGAGCTCAAGAATCGAAAATAATATTAATTTAATAATTAATTGCTGTATTTGGATCATTCATTTCTAGACTAAAGTGAATGACGCTAAAGATAGCGGCAAGGAAGTAACCAAGGTAGATAATTGCTATAAAGACGCTGTTGAGGGCATCGGTGAATACGAGAACCAAGCGGAAGAAGCGGCTGTCAAATGCGTAGAAAATTCTGAAACCTCTATTAGGAGCAGTATTGGCTCTGTTGTCGATAATCTTATCGAGGTGCATCTCCATTTTTTATCGCATGTTCTATTCTTCATTAACGTAAGTAGCAATTAATATCGATCAGATTCTAATCGCGTCGATTCCTTTACAGACCGGACGCATTACGATATCAGAATTGGATGACATTTTCTTGGACTGCCATGACATTGACATTATCAAAAAGAAGAGCTGCATTGTCGAAAAGCTGGGCACAATAAATGTCCAAGTGAGGAATTTTGAAGAAGATATCATTAAGGCTGAAATCCACGCTGTGCCCTTATCGAACAATGTCATTAGGCAATCCGGCAATTGCTTCAAAAACGCTTACTCATCCATATACTCGGCAATCACTACGATCAAACTTGGAGTGCAGAAGTGCATCAAGGACGTGGAATCGAAGCTTTAAAATACTAATGTATTTATTAATTATGAATACACTTTATCAAAAGAATCCAATGTGTGCAAAGACAATATGAGTTAGAAGAAGAAGCGATTAAGCATATTCTCTACACTAGCATAGTTCGTGCACAAAACACTAGCATAGTTCGTGATATGCATCCCCAAGTCGGGGCTTTATACATGTACCTCAAAAGAGATCTTTCTCGAATATGTAATGAACAAATGAAATAAACCTAATAAATCTCAAAACGAAAATTAATTTTTATTTCCTATCCATATTCCAATATCCAATATCCAATTCTTTGTTCGTTTGCAATCAAGCTTCCTTATACATAAAGTTGCAAAATCAGATTACATACGCAACTTCTACAGTTATCACAAATCGCATTTTAGATTTTAATCTGCTGTATCATCCTCGTGAAATCAAATTATTCAATCTATTTGTCCTGTTTTGCGTACAAAAATAGTATTATATGTATTTAATAATTTATTAAGACGTACATACGTAATGGCAAACTTTTACCGTAAAACTTTTACCATGTTTCAACATTGAAAAATAAATATTCGTAATCGATTCAATAAACTCAATAATTAAAAAGATTGAATACTTAGTACTGTTATCGACGAAAGCTACTTGTCACTTAAGCCACTCATCAAATCTGCGAAAGTGTTTCATGTACATACTTGTGATTCGATATCTTTGAAATCAGATGTTCTTGGACATGGATTATTAAGCAGAAATTGCTTATCTCATTCCCCGCCCACCACCTCCCGAAACTTATTGAAATGTTTTTTTATCACCCTATATAAAAAGGCGTAATTAATATCGCTTACCAGTTAGTCGAATTCTCGTGTCAACAGAAGCTATTGCCGAATATAATGCAAGCAAGCATGAAAATCGCCGTAGGATTATGTCTCTTGGCTGCTATGTGTGCCGTAAGTTTTACAAAATCATTCATGATAAATAGAATATTGACTCAAAGCTTACATAGTTACCACAACTAATTAATACTGCAAATCAATTATATCGTAAAAAAAATGGCCAAGCGTTTAATATAATACTATGTTCGTTCTTCGATTTTAGAGCAGGGCGATTGACGATCCAGAGGACGATTTGTTAGCAGAAAGAATTCGAATAAGAAATGCGTTAGAAATTGTGGAGAGTATTACACAACGACTTGAACGTCTCAAATCTGACACTAAAGAAGACACTATTGACGAAGTCACTAGAAGACAATGGGAAGAAATGGATAATTTCCGAAAACACAGTAATCTACTACGCAATGAAATGCGCGTAAGTAATCTTTCGAATCAATGTGCTAATTTGTCTCGTAATTATTGATTAATCTAACATAAGAGATGTATTAAATAATATTTATAGATTTTTCGAAAATTATTAAAATTTAAAAATCTAGAAAAAATTATATTTTAATATTATATAAAAAATAATGAAAAACGAAAAACTGCTTGTATGCAGTTAATTCACATTCTTAATTTCACATCATTTTGTCACATCAAAAAAAGTATTATGCGATTATTTATTTTTACAAGTCAAAATTGAGCCAAATTGAGTATTCGATTATTCACTACATTATTGATTTATTTATTTCTAGCGAGAAGTGAACGCCGCTAAGAAGAAAGGCATAGATGCACAGCCGTGTTACGACACCAACTCTAAAGGCATAGACGGCCATCGCGAAGCAGCGACCAAAGAGTCTGAAAAATGCAAAGAAACTGCTGGAAAAAAATATCCAGAACATCCTTGATCCTCTCGATATTATTAAATTGGTAAAAATTTGTTATAATTATTGCATAATGCTTGATCATCTATGGTTTACCGATAATTAATGTGAAGAAAACTCTAATCCTATTATATTTTTTCACAGACCGGAGATTCACTGATAAACGATTTGGAGTCGCTCATTATGGATTGTCATGACATAAACAGTGCCACAGAGAAGGCTTGCATCAACGGAGAATTGACGACAATTAACCATAAAATAGAAGCCTACGATAACGATGTCATTTCTGCCGAAGACAGGGCCTTCATCGCATCCAACAATGTTATTCGACAAGCCAACAAATGCATAAGCGACGTTTACGTGTTAGCGCGTTCAAACGGCGAATCCAGTATGGATTCTAACTCCAAATGCGTTAAGGATGCTTTAGAAAGAAAAAGCAAGGAAGACAGATCAGAACAATTACTTTTGATTTAATTTGAAATTATTTTCGACAAAACAGACAATTCGAAAAAAAGTCGTGCTTTTTTCAGATTAATATCAGATTAAGATTACGCTTATTCGTTATACTTATATAACTAACACTGCTAACTATACGCTGTCTCTAAACTAGAATATCATAAGACATTAAGAGTAAGAATTGCGTCATGTATTTCGACGAATATTTTTTTCTCATGCAATACAGAGAAATAAAAATAATTGAAACATAAGAGAACATTATTTACCGATACGATTCCTTATTTGTTTACGATTGTCCTTCATCGCGCTTGCCTTTCGCGCAAATTTCCAAAAGCATATGCGATAAGTTGCACATGTCTTATCATTATACAAATAAATTATAATCTGCGCTATCTTTCGGATAAAATCTAACAACTTTTTAAAATAAAAGTAATATCATAATTTTCCATTAAAACACAGTATTCCATTAAAGAATCGCTCATATAAAAGAGCCCAAATAACGCTGTTTGTTAAACAGTCCATTTGTCACAGTCGAAAAGTTCTCAATTGTCATAAGCAAGCATGAAGAGAGGTGTGGCATTATGCCTCTTAGTTGTACTTTGTACCGTAAGTTTTCGTATTTAGATAATAATTTGCAATTTTGTTCACAAAGCATTAATTCAGATCTCAGTTTTTAAGGCTTAACATTATAAAAAAAGATAGACAGCGAATGTTAGAAAAAAAATTGACTTTAAGTTGGTTCCATCCTCAAACCAATAAAGTTTTTTCTTCATCGTTTTACATATTTTCATCGAGCAAATCTCAATGTAGATTTAAACAATTAGCAAATTTTTATTTTCCTGATCTTAGGTTAATGCAACTATTTTAAATCTTCCGTTGACTAAAGTGAAGAATGCGAAATTGTCTGTGGAAGAAAGCACAGCCAAAGTCAATAAACTCCGCAATAACTACGTGCAAAAAACTGACTTCACAATCATACAGAAATGGTTAAAAGAAATAGAGAAGCTCGAGAAATATATCGAGCGAACGCTCAAAACAATGGACGTAAGTAATCAGTCTCAGATATATTCCTCGTTATAATTCAAATTATTCATTTGATATTATTATGGATTCATCCATTATCAGAAAGAAATCGGCAAGATAAAGGACGAAAATGCACATTGGTGCTACGACGCTGCTCTTAGTTTTATCAGGAATACCGACTACGCGACATATACACACGCATTAGTGTGTCATGAACGCGCTAAAAGCTCTATCAACAGCAACCTTGGCTTTATCGATGATCTTGTCTCGGTAAGTTAATCGTGATTATTATTGTGATTATTATCGTTATATTACGCTGTTCTATTCTCCGCTGATTAAAATGGAAAGCAAATTCTAATCGTATTAATTTACAGACAGGGCGAAGATTGTGGCCGGTTTTGGATAACATCTTCCCAAATTGTTACGACAGTACTTCAGGAATTTCGGACATTCTCAAACTGCGGAACTGCATCAATGATCAGATCGAAATATGTAATGTTGACGTGAATAAGTTAAAACGTGACGTCCATTCAGCCGAACACACTGCCAAGACCGCATTTGACAATATCATTCAGGAGAGCGATAAATGCCTGAATGATGCTTATTCGGCCTCACAGTTGCACATCACGGAGGCTAAGGAGATTTTCACCAGATGTCTCAAGACTTCGTGCAACAAACCGTTTGTTGTTGCAAACCAGTGAATGAAGTATTTTTATTCCACGAGAAAGAGTACTATATTTCAAGTTATTACTATATTTTTACTCTCGAGAAAAAACACTATATTTCAAGTTATTACTGCGACATTACACGATTTGCTAGAGCAGTGTTTCGTCTTTAACAGATTTTCAATACACAAACCGTACTAATGTAATTGTTATTATTAGAATAATAACACACCGAAAATAACAACAGCGAATTCGGACTAAGATTTACCGTCCACAAAAAATTCTTCACCGTAAACGAATCGATATTACATCACAAACTTTCTGAGAAAAAAAAATGTTTGTACAGTTCGAAGCATCTGATTATAATTTTTTACATTTGTCATACAGCTTCAATGAAGCGGTTTTAATATGAAAAATAATTGCATTCATTTAATATTAAAAATAATTATATAAAGGATAGACCATCGCGAATCTCTCGCGATTCATTTAAAGTGAAAATAGATAAAACAAAGTGAAAAGAACTCTTCAATATAAAATCTCGATAAGAATCGATAAGAGAGAAATATTGTTACTAAAAATATTTATATCGCTAATGATTATTTTGATAATACAATCATGTAGAAAAATAGTTCTTATAATAATTATCTATAATCATTTATCGAAACAATCATGACATGAGCGGTGTTTTATACATATCTGCAAATCAATAAGCGTTTTAATTTTTATCGGCTCTTATTCTTTTGTCGAGATTTCATATCGATAAATTTGTCACCTATTTTATACTTATTCTTTTATCGAGATATTAAGTTAAACACATTTAATTAATGACAGATATTAGCGTAATTCAGAAATTTTTTTAGTAACTTAGCCATTATAAAATATTATTTACAATCACGTAGGTGTAAAAATCTTTTATGCCTGAATATCAAGATTTATGTAAACATGTAAAATATATATTCATAAAAAATATATTCATGCAATATGTAATACTATAAATATATAGTAAATATATAAAGTAATATTTGCATTCTTAAATCAATTTTTCTACAAAAATACAAAAATATCTTTAATCTACAATAATTAAATATGAATCTGTATAATAAGTAATTTCAAATTTTTTAAATAAATCTGTCCATTATTTTTATCAAGCAACATGCAGTTTAATTAACACGTGTATTTGTTTGTCAAAATTGTAATCAAGTTCCGCTCATGTCATGATTTTTTCTCGTTACGCTTACTGCGTAAAAAATAACACCATCTATTAAAAAGTACGAAATTACTTATTGTCCAATACATATCACACTTCAAAGTCATGATCTGAGTGATAATTCACTTCCTGATGTACTCAAGTTCAAGATGTGTAAGTAATCATTTAAGTCGTGCAATAATTTAACATATTATCGAAAATCTATAAGTTCAATCAGTTTGATTTACATTTGATCAACTCAAAGTTTCTAAACTCTTATTTATTAATTAGTTTTCAAAGATATATATTTGATATAATAACACGACATTTAATTAAATTAAACACGTAATTTTAGTTTATTTTATTATATCTTATTTAATTATTTCTTTTGATTTATTTATTTACTAGAAAAAAGTGGAGGTTGCTAAAGAGGAAGATAAGAATACTCAGCCATGCCACAATACAGCGTTCAATACTCCGTGAAACATTAGAATTGACAAACGACGCTGAACGATGTGTCAGTGCTGCTAAAAGTTTCGTCAAGAGCGAGCTTGGTTTTATCAATCTTATCTTGGTTAGGTTTAATGCTTGATTATCATTGTATGTTCTTTGACTAAATAATATAGGTAAAATTCTTCAAGTTCAATTACGTTAATTCCTTCACAGACTGGACGCAAGCTGATAACGAAAATAAATAACATCTTTCCAAGTTGCTACAACAATGATATTTTCAAAATGCAGAGTTGCATCGCTATTGAACTGGTGCTAACTAATATTCTTGTGAAAAACTTTGAGAAAGACAGCAAATCCGTCGAAAATACCGCTAATTCCACATCCAATACGATTTTTCTACAAAACGGCCTAAGCGACGTTTACTTGTCCACACGTTTCCAAAATCACAGAGAATAATTTGGCTACCACAAAATGCCTTAAGAATTTGTAAAACAAGTGTTTGCTACAATAATGAGGATTAAAAGTGACGCAAATCAAAAAGCGAATGAATAAGAATAAATGAAATAATTAAGGTGTTTAAACGTTTAAAAGATTTATGGAAAATTTCAAAGATTTTATTTGAAAAGAGCAAAGTATCTCATAAAACTGCAGAAAACTTTACTATCTCAATTGTAGAAAGTTATTCTCTATATATTTAAACATTTAAACGCCTTTTAATATAATGCTTTGTTTGCGCAAAAAATTTCTTTCGTTTTTCGAAAGAAAATCTTGCTATTTGCCCATCCGAAATTTTGTCATTATCTTTGTCACCAACAAACTGTAAACTCACTGCCAAAGCAGAAGTTTCAGAATTTGTTGATGTAAAAAATTAGATAGAATATAAAATTTAAAAAAAATTTTTAATCCTAAAAAATTTGAAAATTCTACCTAACCGGAAATTTTACCTAACAGAAAATTTTACCTAATAAAGAATTTTGTCTAATAGGAAAATCACTTTAAAAAAATTAGATTTTATTTTGCGTTACGCAAACTTGTGTGTGCAAATTATATTTCTCAAAGAGAGAAATTTGAAGGAAAATTTTTTGCGAGAATGTTTAAGAATTTTTCGCGTAATTGTTTGGGGTTTTTTCGCGGGTTGCTTAGCGCAGAGCTCAGCTCAGTTACCGCTATTTACATCTGAAATTCGAGAGGGAGTTTTACGCACGACCGTTCAGGAGTTTTTCACGGGATGCTTAGCGCAGAGTTCAGCTCAGTTACCGCTAATTGCATCCAAAATCCGAAAGCGACTGTCTCGGCGTTTCTCGCAGGACGCTAGCGCAGAGCTCGGCTCAGTTTCCGCTAGTTGTGTCCGAAATTTGTGTTGATAGTCGACCATTATTCAATGGTCGATCGTATCAACGTTTCGAGATCTGTGCTCGACCATCATTGATGGGACCACAAATTTCGAAAGTCCATGCTCAACCATGGGATCAACACTAGAACTACCGACGATTAACATATACCAGTTTCTATTACCTTTTTTTCTAAACAGAGATGAAGCAAAAAAATATATTAATCAGTTTAATCATTTAATACAATGCAACAAGTCAGAAAAAATCTCAGGAAATACAACATTATAAATTTAAATAATTGTTCTAAAAAATAAACCGGTTATTTTGACCGCCTTGGTAGTTCTAGTGTTAAGCCATAGGACCACGGATGCATGGATAAGCTAGGAAAGATTACGAAGAAATTGGCGTATAGCAAAAATAAATATATTTCAAAACTGTTAATAAAAAATGTGCTCTTTTTTTCATTAAATAAATTATTTCAAATATACCATAATTTATTAATATATTTACGTTTGTGTAGAAGAATTTTCTTTTTTATTTTTAATTTATATTTGTAATACGTACATATGTATTTAAAAATTTTCTTACTTTTGCTTTTCAACGCCAATTTGTATAATATTTAACCCTGGAAAAATATATAAATAAACCACTTACCGTAGGGGAAAAAAAAATAAAAATACACATTTACACAGAAAAAAAGAATTTTGCAATAAAATAAATGCAATAACATAAGAATTTCACAATAAAATAATTGTTGCTAAGTATTGCATATTAAATACATATGTTAGCGGCAGCAAATTTTTTTTTTCCGTGTGTTAACAATTTTTTTCTTTTATTTTATGTATAATCTTACTTTTCAAAATATTTCTTTTCTTCTATATTTTTTATTGTATAAAAAATTTTATTGTATAAAAAATATATAAAAATATATATATATATAAACAAGCATAATACATTAGTCAGGATAAAAATATATTGAGTTATTTAGAAAGTTTGTAATAATTTTTATAATAAAATTGAAAATAATTTTTATATGTTTAGATTCATTTTTATTCAATATGCTCCGTTGTTTTCGACAACTTTTGCATACCACTTTTAACAACTTGTGCATACATTACTGAATAAAGATATATAAACATATAAAAATTGTTTTTGATTTTGTCATAAAAAAAAAATTCTATAAACTTTCCGAATAATTTAATATATCTTGCTCTGATCTGTCAATCATGAAATATATTTAGGAATGTTCCAGGGTTAAATATTTATCAACGCATCTAAGTCCTAGCCTAACCATTTAAAATATTGAATCGGAGAAATAGTGCACTTTTCATATTTTTATATAAAGTATTTTTGTGTATGATTATATTTTTAATATTATAAAATTAATATTTAATATATATTAATTGAAAGGCTATTAGGCCAATGAAAGTTGTGCGCTCAATCAAAATCCAAATTAGAAACACTTTGCTTTCTTTAATGCACAACACATTTTGCAGGTATTTCCATATTTTTTAATGATTTTTATAATAATAATAATAATAATCTAACACATAACATGTATCTTTTCTAAATATATATAATAATATTGGTAACATATAAATAAATTTAATTTAAATCAATTAAAAGAATAAGTACTTCGTTTTTTAAAAGTAACGTATCGTCAAGTAACATGAAAGCACGTACAACTCAAAATATTTGAAATATGTGAGAATAAAATTTTGATATAAAATTTTGCGATAAAAACTATACAGTTCTGCAAAGTGTTTTAAAAATGCATTTTTACACTATTTTTCTCCGATCCATTATCTTAATAATAAAAGACAAATTAGATTAACTCACCGATCGATGCGCAGCAGCGGAGTTGTCGTTCTATTGATCTGCATAGTTGATGATCTGTAAAATACGAAAATAAATCAAGATTATAGTTGCGTTCATAATGAATATTTATCAAATCATAATTGAGTACATTGAACTTTTAATTCTTTTTGTAAGCAAATATGGAATAAAAGAATTATTGAAATTTTAAGTCTTTTAATGTACAACATTTTTAATAAATGAATAAATTATTATTTACCGTAAAGTTGCTCCGCCGGCGCACGATGCTCCTTCTGAGCCTCCTCCTCCTCTCATTGGTCCTTCGAAGCACTCGCACTGAATCACACGCGTTCGCGGCGCACGCCTTGCTCGCGTGCGTGTCCGAATACGAAAAATCGCGCGATTTACATTAAACAACACTTCCGATGTCGCAGGCGAATCAAACCGAATTGTCCAAACTGCGAGATTACGTGCGAGGTTACGTGCAAATTCCGTCCGCGTTTTAGACGACCGTATTTTCCAATTGAGGCACGATTTTCTCAAAACAGAGAACAAAACGTAGCTCGAAGAAGTTAAGGTGCGATTAATCATGGAATCAACCGACTAGATACCGGGCATCTCACACTGAAGATGCCTTTTTGTAGTCGAGATTTCATGATTAAAACCGATCCTTTTCTCCCCCGAGCCAAGTCCAAAGTCGAAAGAAAATCATGTCCCAATATTTGTCGTAGCATGCGACGGAAATACGTTCGTCTATACAATTCGCTACAATACGGCATTTCGTACTCGCGCGAAACTATCACGTCATTCCCGGCATAACGCACTCCCACACGTTTTATTATATTACGAAATTACGGCGGGACGAATGTGACGATTTGAAGCGCGAAGGTTAGGTGCATTGCACGCGTGCGTTTTTAAATACGAAAGTCGCGCGACCTTTTAAACGGCACTCCCGGTTTTTATTACGACGATCACACGGTATTTTACACACTCCCGACGCGATTTTGTCCTATGAGAACAAAGATATAACTCGAATATCGCTTGTCGCACGGAATACGCGTTCGGCACTCTGCATAGAACAGTATATACGCAACAGGTAATGATAGAAAAGGGGGAGGAAGACGGAAAACTGTAAGGAAAAGTAATAAGAGTAATAAGGAGAGGAATAATTCGACGTGTGAACCCGTACGAGTGCCGCCGTGCGACTAATAAAAAGCAAAATACCGCAGGATATTTGAAGGACTCGCGAAGACTTAGGTAACATGCGCAGAAGAGATACATGGGTAATGCGAAGTAGAATAACATATGATAGCTGAATGGAAAGAGATAGTGAAGGAATGGAATGCGTAAACAGCGTGACGTAAACAACCCCTAAACGCTGCGGTAAGTAGCGGTAAGTCTTGCTCTCTCTACAATTAACACAACGAAATATTTTTTACGTTACGAAATTCATTAAAAAATAATTTTAATTTCAACAAATAAATTACTATTTTTTATCGTCTTATATCAAAAATCTCCTCAAAATCTTCAAATTTATTAGCGTTGTTTAAGATAGTAATTAATTTCAGTTCATTAAAATTTCGAAACTAATTCTTGTCTCAGACAACGTTAACGAGTTTATAAAATGAAGGCGCACAAGTTGTGTGATATTAATTTATTTATAAAAATTAAAATTCAAAATGCAAGAAACAACATATTATTTTGTAATACGTAAAATATTATATTTTAAAACTTGTCGAAAATGCACAATGTTTCAATGCTGGCTTAATGCGTAGATGTTTCTTTTTTTTTGTGATTCTCTGCACATTTATCTTTTAATTGCGTACTTTTTAAATCAAAATTGTAATTAGTAACATAACTTTCTATAAGTTTAAACGCCTTCATTGATATCTTGATACATCTTTTTAATGTTTTTAAGAAATTTTATTCATTATTATTTTTTGCTATTTTCTCTATATTTATAATTTGTTTTTTTGTAATATATATACATATATTTACTAAATTTATGCTGACAATCATGAAAATCTAGTTGCAAGTATTTGTATCTCGTTTGCGGCCTACTTGAGCTTATTTCAAAGCGCAGCACTAAGGTACTTTAGGTACTAACTTTACCGACTGACCAAAATTCATTCCGGTAGGTAGCGCGCTCTGTATACAATATGCGATACGGTGATGACCGAATTTCAACGGACTCGACCGAGAGCTTTAATCGCGCAGCGAATATCGACCAACGTTTATCGCGTGTTCGGCTGCATTCGTGTGTTACACTAACTAATGGAGTGACACGACGTATGTCAAAGAGGTGTATATGCTGTGGTCGCACGTTCGCAATGATCCATACCCGTGCTCCCTTCCGCATTCACGCTTTCTCGTGATCGGCGAATCAATCAGAGAAATCAGTCGATAAATGTTGGTGCATCAATACAGCCGATGAAAGATATTATCAAGGCGCGCACAGTCGCACCGATCGCTCCGCAGCCCGCAGCCCGCAACCCGCAGCCATACGCCAGATGTATGGGCGCGCGTGCGCGACCGTAATCACCACCGTGCGACCATACTCACACATTTGCGCGATCGTTGACGACTGGCGTAGCTACGTTCATAGCACACATACACGTGTGCGCGACCGCTACACGTCATAAGAGCTGTGAACACGCTGCCGTATGGCTCAGACTACGTTCTAGAGTAGCGCAAGCCGGCAAGTTGTCGCGGACATTCTAGCGAGTGTGACATTCCGTGTTTATTAATTTTTTTCACCGACTGTTCCGGCTCTTTTTCAAGCATCCGCCGTGTTTGCGCATACGTGACGAGCAAGCAACGTCAATAACATGTGTGGTAAGTAATGAATTTTGCCGGACTTTGCATAAACGCGACAACCGCTTTCTCCGCCCGCTCTACACCATGGTCGATGAATGGCGAATTCAATTAATACACGGATCTATGACGTTACATGTTTATGATGTCTGTCAGACCGCGCACAAATGTCAATATCGTTCAGTTTGGCTGTCAAATCCCGAAAATGACAATGTATATGTTCGCAATAAAATTGAGAATATGGAACGCAGTAAAACCGTTCGATTTCCACACGTCAGTATACAATCATCGTATTTTGTTAATTAGCGGGATAATAATAAACGAAACAAAGCGGAAATGTCTATTATTTGCAATTTTAATTAAAATTGTATTTAAAAAATGATGCATTTTTGTCATTGAAGAATAAACTTAAAAATACGCAAGAGAATTAAATATAAAATAATTGTAAATTAATGTTTAATGTTAACATACGAGATAGTAAACGTTACTTATCGCCTAGTACAATTTAAAAATTGCGTTATTGCTTAGTATATCAAAAAGTGCTTGCTTACTTGTGAGTGAAAACCTATCACGGAAAAATACACCTCTAATGTTTTCCAATATTGATTTCTTAGTATTGTGTATTTGCTGTCTACATTTGCTATATAAATATTTAAATTTTGCTATATTTATAAAAAGAAATAAAAGCTTGATAATGTTATATAAAATGATAAGAGTGAAACATATAGTAGCTATAACATTTGATACCGGAAGTTCTAGAGCAAATAAGGATACATGCACATGCATATCGCCAGTGACAATTTATCGCTGGCTAAATGATATATATGTATATATTCTAATTTTAAACAAATGACACATAACGATGAAATGACACATAACGATGAAATTAACAAATCATATCTATTCACAACATACGAAATTATTATGCATTTAAAGAAGCGCGTGTTATACTTGCTACAACTAATTTTTATAGTCGCAATTACAATTAATAACAACACCAACACTGATAATGCAAACTTTATCAAGTTCTCGTATTACGACAGTTTTTGCCTTGAGGTAATTTTGCGATATAAGTTGAATTTTTCAAGTTTTTACAGCGCAATACTTTCCTTCGAGATTTCGGCGCGATTATTTTAGACAATATTTTCGAAAAACATTACGGCGATTCGGAAAGTCATTACGAGATCACGAGAAATCTTGCATAAATCTGTTGTCACATTTTTGACGAAAATTTTTACAATTAGTAAAAAGCTCTTACAATAAATTTTAATAACAATAAAATTTAATAACAAGACAAATGGCACAAGAGCTAAGACAAGATATTATGTGTCAATTTTTCTTCTATTTATAAAATTGTCTTTGAGAATACAAATTTAATTTATTGTATTCTGAATATCAGAATTTTATTGTGATTCTTTTAAATATATATTGAGGATGTATAGTTGAATAATCAACAGAAACATTTATATTCTCAAAAACTATTTTGTAAATAGAAGAAAGACATTGACATACAATATCTTGTCTTAGCTGTTATATCGTTTTTCATGTAACTTTAAAATTAGATTTTACAACCTATAAGTTAAATCGATACTTTTCCCTTTACATTATTTACGATTATTCTCACACTCTGTTTTAAAATGGATGCTCTAATAAATGAATTAATCAATGAGAAATCGCTTGAAATTGAAAAATTTGTTGAATGTTCAATCAAATGACAATTAACTCGAATAAGGGTGTTATTGAGATTTCGCTCGATCGTGTGCGCTTGTAGAAATCTTGCATGATTATTTTTTCTGCGAAATGCACGACTTCCTCGGCTATCGACCTATACGCAAATCATGCTCCAGTATTTTACCAGGCAGTGCAACAATGTTAAATCTCTATTAACTCGCGTAATACACGCGATAATCACATCGAATTACATTCTCTTTTTCTGAAATAATGTTGATGAAAGCGCCTATTGTAATTACAAACTTTCGAGCATAGTATGTATCGTAAAATCTGTTATTATCATTTTTACAAAATCGAGAAAATATTGCTTAGGAGGTTTTGCGCTTTCTACGGAAATGTTAATAATCAACTCTATCTTTCATACATTTCTAAATCTGTTATACTTGCGAATATTAAACTCGTCGCTTTTACTTTCTTAAGCAACTTTCTGTGGCGACGTGACCTTTCGATCGTACGTACAATAGACATTTTTTTTAAATCTCACTCTCTAAACGGATGTATTCTGAAAAAAAATCTCCCGTTACATACGTTTGCATATCATTTGCTTCTCGGATTCTGAATAAATCATTAACTTCATTAGCGCCACCTCTATCGATTTAATAGTCATATCAGTGCCCGGTGTAAAATATTGATCGCATCTACTTTGTAGATAAACATCACATGGACACAGATTTGAACAAATTACTCTATTGAAGAAAAGTTAGTAAAACATTTGAACAGTTCAATTATCGTAAAACTTGGCAAACTATTATTGCGCGAGTCTCCATGACGAAGTATCTATCTGAATCTATTTTTATCGATAGGATAAAGAAATGATTCAAGTGTACAACTATTATTGTAATACAGCTCGTACAATAGCTTGTCGGTGAGAAGTTTTTCAATTGACACGAGGCGGTGCCGACGACGGACGGCGCGGTCGAGTGAAAGTCTCTTTTTTTCCGGCGCGCAAACCTGAGCGAACCCGAAGCGAGAGGGTGCTACGACATAGGACAGTTACATATGACATTTAGACGCGACAGAGATATGCACCTTCGAAACGGCTCCTTTCTCTTCCGATCGTCCCCGCCATCTCGTTTGCCTTGCAAGATTCGACTACCGCGTATGAATTCAATTACATATAAACTCAACCAGAAAGTATTCAAATATTCAGACTATTATTGAACACGCATTATATTGATTGAGCTTGGTATTATATTATCGCAGTATTTTGTTTAATATTTTTTTACTTCAATATTTTACAATATTCTTATCTTATAACATCCTACTTCTACGTCTCGCAATATTTACAATACTCTGCCATAAGTATCTGCTGTTTATGGACACTTGGAAATAATTTAAAAAAATAGAGTTTATTAAAGAAAAAGAATTAAAGATGCGCGGCGTACATTTGCTCATCAATTGATTCCATCTTACGATAGCCCCGTTAGATTTATACAGGGAATATCATGGTCAGTAGGTCGACAAGCCAAGTTTGTGCTAAATGATGCTATGATAATTATATGTACGGCCGTTCAACCGCGGTCTCGTTGACACACACATCGGCTGCATTTCAATTGCTTTCGCGGCGCGAATTGAATTTCGAGATCTTCCACATGCTTTCATTACCAGCGAATGTTTCGGAGAATTGCTTAAAAAACTTTTTCATACGCACTAGTTTTCATGCACAATTATTTTATTCTGTGAAACATTTACAAGTTTAACGGAATAAAGTATCAACACAAATCCGCAAGTTAAATTCCGTATATTAATTTGCACTTTTACGTGTAAAAATGTTGTGCAGTAATAAAATAAAGATAATGCGACTTGTTTAATTTTTCTCCAGAGATATGATAGCGAACTGATATGAATGAGGCATTCCTTCGAGGAAATTACTCAGAGTCGACAGAAATACTCTCCATGCGTTTCCTTTATTGTAAGACGATATCAAATTAGTATGATTAATCTACCGAATGTAGTAATCAGGAAATGATAAAATTTTTTAATTATCATGCTTTTTGACTTTCAGAAAGGTGCCACTTCCGGCATTCGATAAGGCTTTCTTTATCGTTACATAAAGCTGTTTATCATCCATAATACAACCACACGGTTATAAAGCTAATAAATTTCCACGAACATGTTAAGGAAATTGTTTTTCTCCTTAGAATCTCATGATTGAAAAAACCGTGCCGTATCAATTGTGAAAAAATTTTCTTATCGTTCTGTATAACCGGAGTATTCCTTCGAGTTTCAATGAATCAATCGTCTAGTCTTCCTCGGAGATCCAAATCGAGCTGTATAGTCGATACAAGATACTCAACCCTCCGTCTCGATTTATAATCGACGCGCTTAGAGTCTTGCAGCAAGTAATGGGCGGTAGGTCTTTCAATAATAATGCGCGATGATAATATCATTAAACAATCTTGCTTTTATATACGTATTTTATTAATGTTGCCTTTGCTAAAACTAAATAAAATCACAAAAAAATAAGTAACGAATATTAGTTTTTAATTTTATTGTTTTTTTTTTTAAACACTGTATGTAATGTTTATTTAATTATTATTGACGTTATTTTTGCCGTTATCTTTGTCTCCTTTTTACGTTATAGCTGTAGTCGAGAATAACAGCTGCGTCAATGTTTGCTCGCATATACTTGTGCTATAATGCATCATTGACTTTTTTTATGCGCGTACTCGTAATGTATAAAAAGTATCTTCATTGTTATTCAAAAAGGAGACATTTTCTGTCGATAGTTCTAGCTTTGAATCAATTATCTCGATGAAAATTTTTCAATGAATAAGCACGTGTAAGATTTGTTATAATTTTTGGCAATACCGAAATTAGCAAGATTGCGTCCATCTAAAAGAAAAAAAAACAGAAGGCGAGTGTTGAATGTTACGAAGATGAGAGTTACAAAAATATCCAGGAAACTTTCGGAGTGAAATCAATCGAGTAAAAGTAGGACAATCGGACGCGTCCAAAATGAATATTAGACTTTTTCCGCGCTCGGATATCACATTTCATCCGCAATCTTGTTTGATTACAGTAATTTGACTTACGTCGTTAGAAATGGGAGAAGTTTTGCATTCTTTATGCGTGCCAATTTCTATTGCAAAATTATAATATATATATATTAATTATAATATAATTATATTATAATTTATTATCAAATAAATCTATAAATTGCTACGCATTTAATATTAATTACAATAATATTAACGTTGTGGATAATATATTCCATAATAAATATTTTTTTACTGTAAGATAGAATAATCATATTTTATTTTATTCTATTATACATCATAGCATAAAATTCGATCTGCATAAAATTTCATTTGATTATCGTCGAAGTCATACATTGTGACATATTGATAATACTATCCGGTATCTAGCATCAATATCAGTACATATCGAAACAATAATTCAATGTTCTCCGATTTAAATCAATATGTTTCAATTACATTGAGCTACCTACTCGTGTGTAAAATACAATATTTGTACTATTAATATAAAAGCAAAGTTATTAATTCAATAGATTTGAAAAATCTTCAAGTAGATAACCGCATTTTATAAGTAAAATGTAAGTTTCACCAAATATTTTGACGTTATTATTACTGACTCAATATTAATTTTAAAGTAGTAAGCTATCAGAAATCAATATCATTGAGCGATGACTCACTGTGCGAGATTTCACACAGCGATTAAAGGAATCTCTACTAAAATGAAGAGCAAGTGTTGAGTGACAGTTGAAAAGCTTTAGGAGTGTTTAAACAAATGCGATTTTTATCAGAATCTATCCATTTTCGTCGTTTATCAGAATTCGAAAATGACATGCATATATAAAATCATGATTATTCCACGCTAACACAACGATAACTGCGCCCATCTGATGACGAATCTGCAGTTTAATTTCGTGAACTTTCCCTTTCACCGGCGCGCGTGTATCTTGAATTACCTGTTCTCTTTTGCCGTTAGGTCGATCAGACCTCTCAATCTTTTTGTATTCTCGAGATCGTTCATGGACGTCGGCTATTTGCATTTTTGCAATGCGTCTGGCGTCAGGTTCCGTTAATGTATGCACGATAGTAATGTATTTGACATTTTTTGACCTCCGCGCGAAATTTATTAATTAACATTGATAAGACTCCTCTTCACTTTGATTCTTTATATTTGTTATATTATCACATTTTATTGACTGAATTATATTTCCTACAATTATCACATGTAATTATAATACGTAATATTAAATCTGAAAAAATTTCTTAATATTATTACAATCATGTTTAATTACAATTGTAAATCTTTCTTGTTGCAAAGTTTATGGTTTCTTCTTCTAATTATTGCTATCAAGTGTATGTTATTCGTATTAAAAAAAATTTTTTAAAATCTTTTTATATAAAAAAAGTGAATTGAAACAATGAAATTTGTGATTTTCTGCGTTTTGTATGTACAGCTTGTATAGCTACACATTTTGGTCTTGTTTTGCAAATTAGCGCGCTAAGTAAAAGTAGAATGAAAGGTTTCGATGCAATCTCCCTTCGCGACCTTTTCGCGCATCCGAATAAATCGGATTCCTCTCTTTTCCGCGTTCCTTCACGAATCCGACCTTCGGAATGGAAAGGTGGTGTAAAGAACGGTGAACTTGAGAGATAGCCTGTTGTCGCCCACTAGCGCGCGAAGGTCGCCGGTTTTATTATACTTTTTCGCTCGATTAAATGCAGCTTGGAAGCAGAGGAGAGAGAGAACAAGTTTATTGTTATTTTAAGATAAATTCCAGAAATATACAAGTAGAATACCTTCGAGAAAAGCAAAGAAAAAAGAATAAATTGAGATATGTATAAAACTAAAAATAATTGAGAGAACCATATGATAAAAATAGAATTAAATTAATAATGGTTAGAATTCCAGCGTGTTTAGTAAATGCACATTTAATGCATCGGATCAAGTAAACTGCACACGCGTAAGAGATAGGGGAAAGAAATTACATTATGCAATGCAGCGAATAATACGAGTATATAATTTACGCTTGACAGCGTAATCAGATTGAAACAAAAAACTATAAATTTTATAACAAGAAAGGCCTCCATTGTTTGTTGTTAATTTTATCTAATAATGTAGCTAATTACATGATAAAATTCATGGCAGTTCAACATTAAGCAATGCAATATATATATGAAGATTATTGATTAAAAGTTGAATAACTTATAGCACTGATTAAAGGTTGATTTTAACATCTATTGTTCTCAATCAATAATAATTAAATACGTTTGTGTTTCTATCGCGCATGACGCATGACTCAACGAATAATATATGTACATATATTAGTAATACCTATCTTTTGAATGCTTAGGGATTTTCGCTTATTTGAACTACTTGACACCGAAGAGTAGGAAGGAGATCTTGGAATTGCTAGTTGTTGGCTTGAAAAGATTGGAATATCGCGGATATGATTCTGCAGGTAAGACAATTTCTATATCTCCCCATATTTTTCTGTATAATCTTTTTTTTCGCGAGTAAAAGCTAAATTTGTATCTTGAGAATATCTTGAGAAAATAAAAATGCTGACCGTATATAAAAAGAAGGAAATATTAAAAAAAATATATGAATTGTAAAGCTCGCCAAATATATTTAAACGTTTAAAAAATTATGTTTCTTGCGTGAAGAAATATATATACATAAAAGTATAATATTCTTGCGCTGTTAATTTTTATGTTCTAGAATATATAAATAGAAAAAGATATAAATAGATATTTGCAATTTTAAAAGTCGCGTGAGCTCTTGAATATCAGCAGCAAAAGAATAGTGTTTCATCGTCGAAATGAGATTCCAGTTGCATCCGATCTAGCCACTGCGCTTTTTTTTTAATCATCTCTCGTTTCGCAAACCTAATTTTAAAGAAGAGAAGAAACGCTTTCTCATTTTTTTCGCCGTATTTATCAATTCATGAAATAAAAAGGGCAACACGATTTATATTGATCATAGAAATTCCTTTCACGTGTGGTGTCCTTTTGCAGGCGTCGCCCTCGACAGCGCGGATGGCAAGGACATCTCGATTATTAAAAAGCAGGGAAAGGTCAAAGCTCTCGAGGAGGAGATATTTTGCCGTAAGTGTCGGCTGCAGGGTTTTAGGTTGCAAAACCGCTCTGCGCTTTTACGACGTCACGACGATCGTTTTTGTCGTCTCGTTAAAAAGAAATACCTCGAATCACTTTTCCTTGATCATCGTACTAAAATCCACAATGTTCATTTATAGGTACCAATCTCGATTTCGAATCGGAAACTCATTGCCACGTCGGCATCGCTCACACGCGATGGGCGACTCATGGTGTGCCGTCGGAAGTGAATGCTCATCCTCAGCGGTCCGATAGTGAACATGCCTTTGTCGTTGTTCACAATGGTAATGCTTATAATATTTACTTAATCTCGAAATGTCCCTCTTGGTTCTTCACACACTTATTTCGCACGCAGGTATCGTTACGAATTATAAGGAAGTCAAGACTTTGCTGCAACAAAGAGGATACGCGTTCGAGAGTGACACCGATACCGAAGTTATCGCCAAACTGATACACCATCTCTGGGTACAGCACCCCGCGTATTCATTCCGTGAACTGGTCGAGCAAGTCGTCCAGCAATTGGTGAGAAATATAGACAAAGGATCGTTTCGTTCGCAGAAATGCAGAAAAATAGAGTATATCTTATTAATTCTGAAAAAAAAAAACTATTTTACGACTACATCTTGCTAAAAGATTTGAAATAACAAATTTGAAACTCTAGAGACGTAACGGGATAACAAAACGAAGAAAAATCCTTTTCAGGAAGGAGCTTTCGCCCTTTGTTTTAAAAGCAAGTACTTCCCGGGCGAGTGCGTGGCCACGAGGCGAGGATCGCCGCTTCTCGTTGGCATCAAGACAAAAACGAGACTGGCCACCGATCACGTGCCTATCTTGTACGGGAAAGGTAAGTCTGAATATTGCGGATCGATCCGACGTCGACTTATGCTACGGCACGTAGACAAGCACCTTTGAAAGATTAAAGAGTTGTTCCCAGCGTAACGTCAGGTGTTGAGAATTGAGAGTATAGCTGTTGACATCTCAAGTGTTGCTCGACACGAGCGTATATCGAACGTTTTAGAGCGCCTCAAGAGACGAAGAGGTACATGTTTGTCTCCCCACGCAATTATGTTAATCACGGAATCGCGCGGAAGTATTGCTTCGTCTTATCTAACCAGTCTATGCTGTGTCAATCACGTGTCTCATTCCGATTCCACGTCTGGAAAGAAAAATGCGACTAATACAACTGACGACTAACTAAGCATGTGCTTCTCCCATTAATCCGAATTGCGAATCATTCGATATGGAAAACAAATCGAGCGCTCATGTAACTAAGTAACATCTGGTTTCACACTTGTTATTACTTTGCACTCTCGATATCGTATATTGCAGCTGATAGAAAATACTATCTTAGAGCGTTAATCCTCTCGCGAAGAGCGTTGAGATAAGATTTATTAGTGAGTCAATTGGTTGTATATTCGCGTCATAGAATTACAAGCAAAGGAATTTTTCCAGACCAGATTCTCTCGAATGACATCAGATATATTACAGTATTAATTAATATTTATTTTTCTTGCTTACAATTTTTAATCTTTTTCGTTCACTTCGTCCTCTACTCGCAATTGTTGGAAGAATTCGAGTAGGCGCATGATTGTTACTTGACATACTCGTCGCTTGTTTCCTTAAACTCTGGCAAATAGTATCGCACGTAAGCTCCTTTCGAATGAGTTTCATGTGGATTACTATACAAATGTTTCTTTTGCATGAACACCTTGCGGTTATGTTCTACCACTTTTCACGCCGTCAGACGACCTTCAATGTGCAATAAACAAAGGTATATACATTACTATACTAGACTTACTCCTCACTTCGATCCTCGGCACTGGATCTCTCACTGTAATGAGAGGACGAAAAAAAAATGGCATTCTATCACAGTATCTGTGTGTGGTATGTAAATCGAAATGCTTCTTTCGTCGATGATGTGTGTTGTTCGCTTAATCATTGTCATCGAACAATTTTATCATCGTGTGACACGTTCTATATCATCCGAACCTATCGCAAGTGATCCGGTGATTGAGGAACACTTAAACCGAGGTTTCTCGCATTCATCAAAGCATCCCTCGCGATAATTTATCGCTAATATTTACCGATCTCGATGATTTTGCGCCCGAGGTCGCGTCTCTATTCTCTTATTGTTCTCCCGTTTTAACACAATAACATACCCTTCCATATGCTCGCTAATTGACATATTTTCGCATGAATCGATTGTTGTAATCTGCATATATATATATACAAGAGACGAGATTTTTATCTCTCTCTTTCTCTCTCTCTCTCTCTCTCTTTTTTTTTACAAATCTATGAAACTTACAGCGTACAAATATATATTTTTCTGAGTAATTTTTCAGGAATGCAATTTTTGGCAAAAGTATATTTATTGTAGTTTTTTTTTTAATTAAGTCTTAATGAAACATGTTGAATATTGCAGGATTATTCTTCATTGCAATCGATCCTATCTAATCATTATATGATAAAAGTCAGAGGAATCAACGAATAATTCTTCGACAAACGTGACTTAGCCTTCGAAATAATAAAAACGACAAAGCAATACGTATTCTTCTGCATTACTAAGAGCTTGGGCACTTGCGGCTTTTACACAATATGTATGTGTATGTGTGTGTGTTGTCGCGATGACGTGCTTTGCAAAAGACTTATAGTAAAGAGACGAAATTATTTTAGAAGATAAAAGTATTTGTTATAATAAAAAAATATCGTTAAGAAGTACGAAAAATTCTAGTTAAAAAGGTAATATTTTTGTTTTCAATTAGCATTTTATTTTCCAAATCAATGCCGCTTGATGCTCGCTCCTTGTTGCCGCAGCAATTGTCCGTTCCGTTAAATCTGTGTTTGCCGTTATATCAATTGTTTGCGCTGTTTATTGTTTTTCGCATTATTTGTCTGCTAATTGTTTTTGTTTTTTTTTCATTCTTCTCCTTTCCCACGTTCCAATCTGTGCAGAAGGTGAGGCACCGTCTCAAGGTAATACTTTATGTTAAGTTTTCGCTTATCCGCTTGCTTCACGCCCGCCACTAACTGTCTCGGTAAACAGATTGTGACTAGCCTGGGTAATTATGATGGATGGATTATGGACAATCGTATCATACTGACCGCAGTACGTACCGTATGATCTTTCTATCATATATCAATTTACAAATTATTCCCGCATTTTTTTTACCTTGTAACATATATTCCAAAAAATTCGATGCGTCTTATAGAATGTATAACGTACACTCTCTTTCCACTCACTGCTAAATAATCGGTGCTAATTTATGCATATCGAATAAGACTGTGTATTCTGTTAACAATTGTTGATCGTGCGTCTTATTTATTTGTTTATTGATGACATTATTCGTATTATTGTTAATTTTTTGTCATTGCGGTGGTATCGCATTTCTCATGTCTCGCAGTAAACGGCATATTAACATTTGGGGTATTGTTGATAATCTAAGTCTATGAGATATAAATACCGAAATTTTATGTAATAGTGTCAGTGGTGTGGGACTTAGAAGGCGGACAAAAATACAATAATTTCACTAGAAATTTAGTGAAAAAACGTAATTTAATTTAGCTTGACTTACATAATAATGACGAAAATTAGTTTTAGGTATCTTAATTATTAACTTTAATTTTTCTTATCATCAGTATATCGTTGTAAAATCAAATTTCACTGCTCGGGATATTTAGTAGCATTGTAATATATCTATAAATATGTTATATAGTACTTCTAGTACTGTAGATAATGTATCATCAAACTTTATCAGGCTGTAATCTATGTGTTTGTCCTGAGAAATTCTTATTTGTCGAATAAATGAACATATATATACATTCCTGGACAAGATTAACGCACCATGTTATTGAATAAAACAGTCTAAACTTCGAATTGATATCATAAATCAATTGTATATCATATGAAAATAAACGATAATAAATGCCTGAGAGTTTAGAAAGAATTTATTAAGAGAAAACAATGAAAATGCCAATTAGTCAAATAAACACATCATTGATGATAAAACCATGAAAAATTAAGAAAATAAAATTTTTAAAAACGCTCGCACAGAGTTGGTTTCTATTCGTAGAAGATCCGTGAATGCACTTTTTTATCGGGATAATATTTTAGAGGAATGTCATATCATTTGCTTTATTTGTGAGTGACAATTTTATCCTTATGTTTAAACTTTTGTTATTCAACATGGTGCGCTAATTTTGTCCGGGAATTTATATATATATATATAAATTCCACAGTAGGATTTTATTCTATTTTACAATTGTTTTTAAAATTATGTCGAATAAAATAGATTTTTGAACACGAAGCTCTCAAGTGTTTTGCTTCGTGGAATAAAATGCGCGGCTCAATCTATGGTTTCTATGCAGATCATCGTCCGCATGGCAGGAATCCAGAACTTCCGGTCATACCGCGTAGCGAGAGCACATCCGAATTTCAACCCCTCGAGGACAAGGAAGTCGAATATTTCTTTGCTTCCGACGCAAGCGCTATAATCGAGCACACAAATCGCGTGATATTTTTAGAGGTGCGAATCGACGTGACATTACGACGATTTTTTTTCCGACAGGATCACGGCGGGATATCGTGTTTATATACCTTATTGATGTAGGACGACGATGTAGCTGCCGTTAAGGAGGGCGCACTGAGCATTCATCGCCTTCGTCGTTGCATGGACGATCCTCACGCCCGCGAGATTACAACGCTCAAAATGGAAATTCAGCAAATCATGAAGGGCAATTACGATTACTTCATGCAAAAGGAGATTTTTGAACAACCGGAGTCGGTGGTGAACACCATGAGAGGACGCTTAAACTTCCAGGACGATTCCGTCACTTTGGGCGGAATTAAAGTAACTTTTGCAATAAATTTTTTTTACGCAAGTGTTTACTTAGTTTCGCAAATGAATTCGACACAAATACGTTTTTGCAGGATTACATTCCCGAAATTAAAAGATGCAGACGTCTCATGCTGATCGGCTGTGGCACAAGCTACCATTCTGCTATAGCTACGCGACAGCTTCTCGAAGAACTGACAGAATTGCCGGTGATGGTCGAACTAGCATCTGATTTTCTGGACCGTAATACGCCAGTCTTCAGAGACGACGTTTGCTTCTTTATTTCTCAATCGGGTAAGATTTTGCAAAATTACGGAATAACGAAATTATTATTACAAAAAAAGGTAGAAAAATAAGTTAATAAAAATCTTGCAATCATAAAAGATTTGGTTTCAATATATATGACGAAGATTATGAGATTACGACTGAATTATTCAATTTTTTTTTCTAACGATAGGCGAAACAGCCGATACATTAATGGCTCTGCGTTATTGCAAAAGCCGTGGGGCTCTTATTGTGGGGATAACGAACACGGTCGGCAGCAGCATTTGCCGCGAGTCCCATTGTGGTGTGCACATAAACGCCGGTCCCGAAATCGGCGTGGCGAGTACCAAGGCTTACACTTCGCAATTCATTTCTCTCGTGATGTTTGCGCTAGTGATGAGCGAGGACAGAATCTCCCTTCGTGCAAGACGTTTACAAGTATATTTTTATTCGGATTCAATACAATATTTTTTCCCCCAAATAAGATATGACTTTCTTAACGTTTGCAAATATTTTTCAGATCATCGAGGGTCTGAAAAATCTCGATAATCTCATTCGCGAGGTACTGAAGCTTGACGATAAAGTCAAGGAGTTGGCTAAATCTCTGTTCCAACACAAATCCTTATTGATTATGGGTCGCGGATATAATTTTGCCACATGTATGGAAGGCGCACTCGTGAGTTTCAGATAAAAAACAGAAATATATATTTTTTTTTGCGATTTACGTTACAAGCAATTTTTGTGTATTTGCAGAAAGTAAAAGAATTGACGTATATGCACAGCGAAGGAATTATGGCCGGTGAATTAAAACATGGACCATTGGCTCTTGTTGACGACTCTATGCCGGTGATTATGATCGTGATGAGAGACCCGGTGTATGTGGTAAGTTTATTATCAAGCAACTTCAAATATCTGTATATTTAAAGAAATATGCTACATACTAATTGAATAATTTATTTTGCAGAAATGCATGAACGCACTGCAACAAGTTACCGCGCGCGACGGCAAGCCGATCGTTATCTGCGAGGAAGGAGACGAAGAAACGATAGCGTTTGCCGATAGAGCCCTTGAGATACCTAAAACTGTCGACTGCCTGCAAGGAATTCTCACTGTCATTCCCATGCAGCTATTATCCTTCCATATCGCGGTTTTACGCGGTTGTAACGTCGATTGTCCGCGAAACTTGGCAAAATCGGTTACAGTAGAGTAAAGGCCGGACAGATTGTTCGATGAACTTTTTCGTAACTGTGTTATAACTAGACCAAGACGATGGCTGCGAAATTTTTTTTCAAGTTAGACGAAAACAAGAATCAGAAAAAATTATCGGAGTATATTACGCGATATATATATTAATATAACTGGGGCGTCAGTGCTTCTATGATTTTGAATCTCGTTAACACTTGAAACTCGTTGCTTGTTCGTGTTTTATATTTGTGATGATGTCTAATAATTGACTTGATAAAATTAAAAAAATTGAATATAAAAATATTCATTGATGCGCACAGTGCAAAGACAAGATCGATAACAGAAGTCAAATGACAGATCGTATATTAGCTTATAATTTTTTTTATGCAATCAATCGCATTATATATGTATTTTTTTGCATTTTTTGGAATAATGATATTCTTAAACGTATTTAATCCCATCGCATTTAACATATTCATATTTTAACTTGTGTGATATATGGTCTATTTTTTTTTATTATAATCATCTATTTTTTTAAAGCATAATTGATGCTTTTTGTTTGAAAGGATGCAGTGTGATATATTTCTTCACAATTGAATTAATTTGCTACGATAGAAATTTTTATACGTATGCGATCATGATAGATAATACACGCGACGTCCAAATCGTATGTATGTATCTGTATATATTCCCATACATGTTAAATACAACGAGATCTATCGAGATAAGAACATCTTTATATAAAAAGATTTTCCAATCTTTGTACGAGAAGTTATACATCCGATACGAATATTACATAGGGACTCTACTATCTTGTTTTATCTCTGAACGGACACACTAACTATTGTATAATATGCAAGAGAGTACGCAATAATAATCTATCAGGATATAGATTATTTTGATAAATTTATCACTAAAAAACATTATGTAAAATTAATTAGAAAACATATAATTAATTTAAGTCATAATCAATAAATGTTTTCTCTTCAGTGTTTTTTGAAATAAGTAATAAAAAATTTATCAAATAACTTTTAAAAATGATGCAAGACATTAATAAATGATTTTATGCAAAACGGTCTTTTTCTTTTTATACTTTGTGATACAAATTTATTGCAATTTATAAAAGAGATTGCTCGTCAGTCACATTTTAGAATACCAAGTAAAAGGGGTGACGAAGAAAGATACTCCATGGCAATATAGCTCTCTCTTTTGCCTAGGGAAACCCCCACTCCTTTTCTCCAGTATATAGAGCTCAATGGTCTATACTACATCTATAGTTTCCATCATATGTTTATCATCATAACTTCCAATATTCAGTGGCTGTATTGCAGTTGTATGGTATTTGATGGTATTAATTGGCTTATACGTGTGTACCGTGGAACATTACTGTGATTAAAAAGTCTGATTTAACTAAACTTTTATTGTTTGTTGTGAGGTACGTAAGATTGTTTATTATTTTATAATATGTTGAACATAATTCGGAATTTGTAAACTGCTTGACTGACTGTTATCACGATCAGGTAGAAATTGAATAGCAATATAATAGCAAATATAATGACAAAGCACGTTGAACGAACTGTTTCTAGATATTAAATCGTTATCAATGGTGAATAAAAATCTGGAGATATACATGTTATCAAAGTCGTAAAGTAACTTTTGTACAATTTCAATTTATATTTCAAGTGAATTCTAATATTTTGCGTAACAAGTTACAAGATTTTTACATCAAACTTAACCTAACCTAACATAATTGAGATAAAACTAATGTGAATTTACTTCTTGATATACAAGAGTTCTTCTCATTTTTTATACTGTATAATAATGTCTAAATAATTTTTCTTACAGTTTTGTGAGCAAATCATAATTTTATGCTCTTTTCTAATGTTATATTATAATTAATTAATTTTTTATATTTATAATTTATATATATTTCTGTTTTTTTAAGGAGAGTATTTACACTATAGCAAACATGTCGACTGATGTCAACATGCAAGCTGAAAAGGTATGTTTAAAACAACTTTATTTGCATGTTTTTATTTGCATGATGATCGGGATATGTGTATAACAATGTATTTTCATAATAATAATGTACATATTGGGTTGCTGTTATACTTTGAGAATTTACTCATTTCCTTTCCGGAAAGCTGAAAGCTTATGGTAAAATAATATTAATCTTTCTTTGGATTAAGCCCAATGGAGAAGCAAGTGTCGCTAAAACTGAAGAAGAAGAGGGCAGATCATCTAAAGACCTGCATGCGGTACCTATTTCAGCAAATTAAATTTTGCTGTTACAGATGATTTCTTTTCTTTAGCCTGCTGTTCTCATTTTATTATTATTCCAGTATTGTTATTTAGTATTGATATTTTTGAATACAGAAAATTTATGATTGAAATATGTATACATTATAAAGTAATGCGGTTAATTTTTTGAAAATTTTAGCAAGAAAGCGGTCCTGTTTACGGAGGTTGTGAGGGACCAAATGCAATGTATGTGAAGCTGGTCAGTAGCGACGGACATGAGTTTATAGTTAAACGAGAACATGCATTAACGAGTGGTACTATCAAAGCAATGTTAAGTGGTCCCGGTCAGTTTGCAGAAAATGAAGCCAATGAAGTCAATTTTCGAGAAATTCCGTAAATATAATATATATAATAGATACAGAGTGTTTTTTTCTGATTTTTTTTTATCATAAAACGACATTGATTATATTTTTATCTTTATACACAGCAATAATTTAACCAAGTTTATTTCTGTTTTTATAGGTCTCATGTGTTACAAAAAGTCTGCATGTATTTCACTTACAAAGTGCGCTACACAAACAGCAGTACAGAAATACCGGAGTTTCCTATTGCACCAGAGATTGCCTTAGAGCTGTTGATGGCTGGCAATTTTTTAGATTGCTAAATATTATCCATAGGCATACATCGGCCTGTTTTTGGCAACTATAGAATCAATACAGCTTTCTTCATTACAATCGTCTAGAATATATCTATGTATTATGATGCTTTGGAAGATCATATTGGAGAACAATCGATTCCTTTGACCTTCTGATGTTCGTAACATAGATATTTTAGTGTAACTAGACAATGCAATATTTTATAATTACAAATCCTAAATTAATTTTATTTGTATTTGGTAATTTATATTTATGGTTATAATATGATATCACTTGGCATAACGATAATTATCGATTAATATCCATGGATTATCCATTTGATCATACATACATACATATATTATCTGTTACCTAACTTGTCATACTATTTCAATATAAAATTATTGTTAAAATTAGAAACGATTTAATACAATATTCTCGAATCACGAACTGTATGAGACAGATATTACGTTTCTCTTCGTATTAACGTTATATCAACTGTATATAAATATTAATCTCTTTCGTTAAATATAGATATAATAATTTATTTTTTAGTGTACATTAAATATATTTACAGTTGTACAATCATTGTCCAGGCACATTGTGAAGTATATCGATATATTGCAGAAGAAATGCTTGATTGAGCATTAAATAAGATCACTTAATCCATAAACTAATTATAAAAAATTAAACATGCGATATGCAAAAGAACACTACAGTTTTATAGGATGTTTCTAAGACATAATCTGATGTACTAATAAATAGAATGTACAAAAGACACTTTTTAACTATTGTTTTCATATAATATTAATGTTATATAATATAGAATTAATCTAGTATTAATTCTCCATAGTAATAATATATTGGTATCTAAGATATTCTATTTTATATAAGTACATATAGATGGTTTATATATTTTTTTCATCGACAATTTACAATTTTAATTGTTTTTTGCATCTCTTTCAAGATCCTTAAACTTGGCTTCCAATCGTTTCGAATATGCTGCAAGCTTGTATGCAGCTTGCTCCAACTTATTAACACTGTCGTCGATCTGATTGATGTTATCGAGGATTGGTTGCAATTTTTGATACTTGTCGTTCAACGAGTCCAACGACTGCACCACATTCGATGAAATAACCTTTAGTTCCGTGTACTTGGCGATGGTCTCTTTGTTCAAGCGCTCCAGTAATCGGTAATCTGCATGAGTGGCAGTGAGCTCCTCCTGTAAGTACTCGCCAGTTTTCTGGAACATCGTATTCGCTAAGCGACTCAGATTCGGATCGTGCGGATCCAACGCTTCGAAACTGCTAGTGCTAGTGGAGAGCGTGGTGCCGCGTTTCGGCGATTCGCATCTCGAATTCTGTTCGGTTGGCAGACTCTCGATCAACGCCGACTCGTTTTGCACTTCATCCTTTGAGGAATCCATAATAGATATAACCGTCGCAACGTGTATACTATAGTACAAACTAAACAATTATTAGTATAAATAAACACTTTACAAGAGCAAATGCTCGAACATTTTATTTTAAATTGTAATAATAATAAATTGTCCTAACCTGCTCTCTTCAAATCCCCATGTTTTACAATTGTTTATCTCTTTGTTGAATACAGCTGATTTACTGATGTTATTGATTTCTCTTTTTTTTCTTTTTAACTTTGTGATCAATGATCAGCTGATTTTCGAACTGTCAATATACCATCTGCTGAACCATAAACCTGATAGATATGAGAAATCGCAGTCAACTGACTAAATCAGTTACCTATCGTATCATGGCCGCTCTATCAATTTTTATATACTTTGGGTGCGTCATAGGGTGCATCCGGTGCATCCAGTATTGCAACCGCTCATTTAGCAGTCGAATGTGATTGGTTATTACCTTTGAATCCATCATGGAATGCATTGATTTTAGCAGCAGTACTGTCAGCATATTTCGGAACGCACCCTTTATAGTCAATAAAATTTAAAAAATTGAAATGAGAAATTACATATAATTGAAAAAAAAAACTTTTGCTGATGCATCAACAAATATAGAGTTCAATGAAAAATTTTTATATATATTTTTTTCATATACTTATATACATATATTGCGTATATACATATTCTTTTATAAAATATATTGTGCGACTGCTTAAAATGGCACAACGTTACAATGATAAAATAGTTGCAATGTACGTATTCAGTATTAACATATTCATCAAATATTCCTTTAGTGTGCTAAATATTGAACAAAATATTTTCAACACTAGATCTTTTTAAACTTACATTACATACATATTAAATTTGTTTCATATAACAGAAGATAAAACCTTCTTATGCTTTGGTCTAAACTTTGGTAACTGTATACCACCATGTTTCTTCTCCATTTCGATATGTAGAAGGCAAAATATGATACCTTTTAACTTATTAGTTATTTAGATATAATAGATAATGATGATTAGTTTTTGTAACCATTCGGATTGTTTTGTTGCCATTTCCACGTATCTGCACCTGAAACATCAACAGTCTTCATTTTAGAATATTATAATGAATCCTGAAATCACAGAAATGGCACGTAATTCTTATAATGCTGTTAATTTGTTTATTATTATAACTTACACATGTCATCCAAATTTTTCGTAGTAGTCCAGCCCAATTCTTTATTAGCGACACTAGCATCCGCGTAACTAGCGGATATGTCGCCCGGTCTACGTTCAACTATTTTGTATGGTATTTTCTTTCCAGATGCCTTCTCATATGCACGTATTACTTCAAGAACAGAGTAGCCCTTTCCAGTGCCAAGATTTATCGCCTTAAATCCCATTGGATTGCAAGTTTTTTGATAAGTCATTGCTTTCACATGTCCTATTGCTAGATCGACAATATGAATATAGTCACGTACTCCTGTGGATTATAGATAAAAAAATTTAATTATAATTATTATAAACTTCTTTTTACAGTACATGATCTTTTTTATATAATAAATGCTTTTACATTAAGACTTTAACTTAATCATATTTCCTGCAATAAAAAATAATCTTACCTGTGCCATCAGGCGTATCATAATCATTGCCATAAATATATAACATATCTCTTTTTCCAACAGAGACTTGTGCGATATAAGGCATTAAATTATTTGGTATACCATTCGGATCTTCTCCTATTTGACCAGAGGAATGTGCACCGACCGGATTAAAGTATCTCAAAGATATAACAGAAAATTCCTGAAAACAATCATTCTTATTAAAGTTCTGCTTACACTGCAATATTATTAAATAATGTTGTAAAACATACATCATCTGATTTACACAAATCCTTCAATATTTCTTCAACCATAAACTTTGTTTTTCCATAAGGATTTGTGCAATTGCCAGTTTTCATGTCTTCAACTAAAGGAAGTTGCTCAGGTATACCATAAACTGTGGCACTACTTGAATAAATGAAATGCTTCACATTATTTTCCCGCATAACTTCTAATATATTTACTGTACCAGCGACATTGACTTTATAGTATTCAAGTGGTTTCTGACATGATTCGCCAACTGCCTTCAACGCGGCAAAATGTATAACACAACTGAAAGTATGCTGCAACAAAATAACAATATTTAAAGCTTGAATCTCACATGCTATTAGCATCATGTATTAGTAAATTTAAGAGAGGATAAATATATTTATTTACCTTCTGAAATACATCTCTCAGATCATTGATATTTGTAATGTCACAGTCAATAAATGTAACATTCTTATTTGTTAATTTCTCTACTATAAGAAGACATTTTGGTTTTTCAGAATTCAAGTCTGTGAATATGAAAGAGAGAGAGAGAGAGATAGCTTGACAAACAGATAGGATTTTTATGTTACGCACATTACATAACATAAAAATTATATGTTACAATGTATGGAATATTAATGTATGGAAAAACAGTGCTAACTTATTAGATATAACTGTTAGAACTTTAATTTACATGCATCTTACTACATTTCTGGTAAAAACGTGTTGAAATTGAATAAAAAGTGAAAAGAATATCGATATATACAATTTATTTAATTTATTGTTTATATATTATAGCAAAATATATGAAATATGTGTCATTGTTTTCAGATGGTTTGCTATGCCTCACCTTTGTACGCATTTATAAGATTGTCTATTACCACCACCTGAAACCCTGCTTCCAATAATTCCAATACTGTGTGAGAACCAATGTAACCAGCACCTCCCGTCACCAGAACATTCCAAACTTCACTTCCCATTGCTTATTGTATAAGTGCTGTTTGTTTTTTGCGCATAAATATATATAATTTAATTTTTTTGTCAATTAAGAACTATACATTAGACATATAACTCAAAGTAAAAACTAAAAAATATGTGTCTTATAACTTGACAATTTTTAATTTTAATTTGAAACAATCATAAAAAGTTAAAATTAAAATATTAATGCAAAATGCATTACCAGTAAGTTGTGATATAACACAACTATAAATTTAATATAAAAGAAACTATATTAATTACTGTTAAACATTGTATTAAAGAAGTTATATTTCTAAAAGCAAGTCAAAGAAAAACAACATATATATATATATACATATTTACAGAGTAAAATCGTATAGGCTGTTAGTTGTGCAGGCTATTTTCATTCAACTAAACTTCACAAAGGCCAAAGTAACTGGTGATAAGATCCTGAACTTTGACTACGCTTGACAATAATCAAAGATTTACTAACCTTATTGCGAACAGCAAATTATGTATTATAACAAAGTTATATAATATTGACACATCATCAGGCATTTGTTATAATTGACGGCCGCAATAAAACCATTTTATGAGAAAGAAAAAAATTGCACTATCGTGTGAGAATGACTGATCCGATAAGTTGTTTGCTTGATTCTCGTTTATAATTCCTCAATTTATCATACATTTTATGTAACATATTAACACGTGGCAACAGAGATACTTAGGTCACATATGACTGCAAGATTGTAAACAACAATTCCAAACAGCTCTCCGCCACTCAGCTCGTCATCTTGTGCATGCGCGAAGACCTATGACATTCGCGCATTATCATATCAATTATATAATTACCGATCGTTGATAAATACCGTTTGTCGATATTGACGGATTTCTATTTTACCGTCTTAGGTGAACGCCAGCTAGCGGAGAAAATGCGCATGTAACTGGGCGTATTTGTTCGGTTGCGTCACGAGAGAAACTTCGCTTTTCCTAGTCGCTGTCGGCCATGATAACGGGTGCGTAAGAGCATCGAGGCCAGTGTGGGACAGTGCCGTAGCAGTATTCACGGTGCAATAACGTTACTGGGCGATTTCATTCGTCGTCTCGCGATTAGGCGCGGCGGAACACACGAGAGTAGAGCGGGGGAGAGGAAGAATCCGTTGCAGTGTCGTCGGGGCGGCGTCCGCGTTGCGTCGCTCTCGCGAAACACTGTTTCTCCGTCGCGCTCCCAAGGAACTATTTGAAAATGGCGCGGGCAATAAGGGCCGTGGCCACCGCATTCGGCGTCGTCTCGTGATCCAGCGCATCCCGGGAGTTGCTTCGTCGATCGGATCTGAACGAGAGTTGTTTACGTGAACACCGCGGTACAGTGGTGTAGTTGGTGCGCCCGTTTTTCGTTCGGGAGCGAGAACCGGCTGCTGAGGACCAAGCCCCATCCCCTGTCGATCGCCCGTGTCATTGTTCGCCGTACGCGGCTTCCTCGGTGCGTCGCGTTGTAAGCCGCACTCGTATTCCACAGGTAAGTGTGTCACCTCACGATATCGCGAATGATGTATTGCAATGATCCCGCGGGATCTCGAGCCTCGATGCCTTCGCGACTGTCCGATGGGCATTCGGCGACTTCGTACCGTAACCTCTTTTCCTCGCAACGAATGTTTTTCACTCAAGTAATCGACGACGTTCGTCGTTCGAGGTTAAAACTTCAGGATCAAGTCAATAAGTGCTAAACGTAAATAATCGCCATTTCGATTCACATACATAAGTATACTCGAGAGCAATTATACTTTTGAAACCGATAGTCATACATCATCTAATGTAGCTTTTGTTCGAATAACTATTCAATTTTGAACACGATTGTAGGTACGATTATACATCTTTTCTTTTTTTTTTGTATCAACGATGTTTGCTTTCGTATTCCACGTTTCGTACCGAAATGTGCGGTGACAAGCTTCTTTCACTCGATGGGATTCTTTAAATAAAACTGGGATTAAGAGCACTTATCAAGGGTTGCATTTGTTGGGGGAGCACCAAAACTTGGGGTGCGAAAACTATTGTGAGCCCTGAAGGCTGGCGGTTGTCAGGGATGCAGAATGCATTGATCCGCTCTGGAGAGCGAAATTTCGTGAAGTTCGAGACACGGCGCGTTATATATATATATATGCCTCTTTCTAGCAAGAGATTGATAACTGTTTTGGATTCGTGTACACATTGTGACAGCTACTCATTTCATCCGAAGGTTATCTCGTCTCTCGGTTGATCGCGTTGTTTTCATGCCAATCGCCGCCACGCTGCGCGCAGTACACATGTAGTAGTAAATGTATAACAGTCACGCAGAGTAACAAAAGGAAGCACGGGTTACGTGCGACAGGCATCGTATGGCCGGGACGGATATCGAGCGTCGATGGGTACGGATCGGTTACGGGAGATCGCACGTATACCGGGTGTCTCGAATAGGCGGACGTGCACAAGTGACGTAACGCGATGACGATGATGCTTGAGAGTTTCGCAAGAAGTTTTTTTCATAGAAAATTTCACTCGCGGCAAACTTAATAACGAGAATATCTTTCTAAAATTTTATTCAAACCAATTCTTTAATTCGCTTAAATCTTTGTCGCTTTATCTGAGAAATAAATATATGTTTCAAATGCCTAATCCGCGTTTTGCGCCTAAATATATTTTTCATGTAATATTACGTTTTTGATTGCGGAAATCCAGAAATTTTTTAATCGGTTTTTAGATACATGCCTTTCACGCTTTTAAGTTAAAGACCACGAGAAGGAGCGTGAAATATCAGCTTACAGATTGAGCATTGCGAATCGGAAATTGCAATTCATTCAGCATAAAACAGGTCAAATATTGAGATTTAGTTGAGTGATTGCGCAATCTTTAATCTCTAATGCGTAGTCCTATACAAGCTTTATCGAGCTTTTCGTCGCGTGCTTCGACAAATTTTCCAAGGCGATCGACTCACGGCACAAATTTTGTCAGAATAAAATTTTTAATCTGCAATCAAATAATTATTAGCGTGTAAGTTTTCATTGACACAATTTCTATAAATTGAATATTAGAACTATTATAAATATTTCAACGACAAGCCTTCAAATATACGCGTAAATCTCATTCTTCTAATTTTTGTTTTATTTTCGTGTTTATCTAATTCACTCAATCTTGACTTCGATTCGCTCGGGCAAAAAAATATGCGTCATGTTAACGCGATTTCGAGCTTTAACGAAGCGTTTATGCGAGCTGCCCCCAGTTTCCGCTGTTTCTCCCGCAGCACCGTGCACCATTCCTGTTTCAACGACCGACCCGGAGGGCAAAAATGCTTCTCGATAGTGTGCCACGCGCATTCGATACTTTCTACACGGTATATATAGGCACCGCTCATTGAGTGCCTGATGCTTCTTCGCCGCCGCCCCCGCTTTAAAACGATAAAGACGTATCTGAGTCACTTTATCCCGCGGATTCCGTCAATTTCGTTCTTTCTCTTTCTTTCATTCTCTCTCTTGCTTGTCCCCCCCGCCTCGTAACCTTTGCTCTAATAGGATGCAAATATGCACCGGTTGACCCTGAATTGGATTTTTGTATAACTGGTACAACAGGTTGTGTAACGTGAGATATGTTATGCGATTTCTGTCTCGAACGAATTTTTCTCTGTTAACTTCGCGATGGATTAAAATATTAATTGGATACATCTGTAAATAATGCGGGTGAAACGAATGCTATGTTAATTGCACGTGATTCGAAATTTTCACAGATTGCATAGGAATGAATAATCTTGGCAAGATTGGAGTCTAACCGTCTTTTTAAACACCCACCGCTGTATTGGTTCAATTGGGTCAATTATGCGTCTTACTGCAGAGCACTATTTTCGAAAGACGCATCATTCCGTACGTGGTTGTGGCTTTCTACGGTAATCGATGAGACGTTCGAGCTGCGCACACATTTCGGCTCCATTCGCGCTTCGCCGATTGAAAAGATCGTGATTCCGAACGTCGCACAAAGCGGAAGAAGCAATCTATCCGTAAGAATACGCAATTTTATTTTCTCATTTATTTATAACGCGGTTCGACGAAAATAAATATTAGAATGCGAGGTATCATTTTTTACAGTTTTTTTCGACGCTTTAAAAAATGCTCCGTCATGTCACAATTTTGAGAGATTCAAGTTTAGTTGTAAAAAATGACATTTTGACGTATTTTATCGTGTTAGAAGTTTTTCTTTTTTAAATGAAGAATATTATTAGGAATTTCTTGCTCCATTAATCATATACAGAAAAAATCTCTTTCGTGAGAGTTGAAAGTCCTAATAATATATTTTATTAAAAAAACTTTTAACACGGTGAAGTATGTGTGTCGAAATAACTCTTTCTTACAACTTTGACCTCGTATTTCTCAAAATTGTGACGTGAGTATTTTTAAAGCCAGTATCATATTCGAAAAGGTTATAAGAAATCACCTCGTATTTTTCTGTGTTCGAAGAAAGCTATTTTTGTAGCAAATGCGTAATTCGTTAACAAGATATGCGCGATTTGGCGAGATTCTATCCTTCGATAGATATCAAGTTGTAAATTTTGGTCAAGAAATGCCGCAGTTGCCGTTATAGCCGTCCGTGGAACTGCCGGCTACCGGTACTCGTGTCATAGTGCGTGCACGCACGTAAGCATGCGTGATGCGTACAGGTGTGCGCTGCGAGGGAGCAGCTGGTGGAAACGGTAGCATTGGGTTTCTCAAAGTTGATCTAATACTTCAGCTTTGTGCGTAGTTCGAACCTTATCGTTATCGCCGTGTCGAATCGATTAACGCTTTTCGCTTCGTTCTAGAAACACATATGCGCAACTCGGCGATTCCGCACACTCGTGTCCGTTTTTGACACAAAAAAAAAAAATTACTTCTACGTGGGAAAACTTTCTAATCCGCTTTTTAAAGAAATCACAATCTTCACTGCCGCGAATTCCCGACGATGATCTAAGCGTGTGTATTTTGAGAATTTAATACTTCGCAAATTTCGATCAACGTGCTAAAGTAACATGTGCTCGATATTTCGCAACACATGAAAAGAAAACGAGAAAATAGATGCGATGAAATTTTTTATTTGCATTTCTTTCTGCAAAAAAAATTATGCATGGTCAAATTGTGGACAATTAAATGCTTCGTAAGTTTTTATAAAAATTCGCATTTTGGGATGTCAGCTTTGCAATCTTGGAAGGTGCATTTGACGTGCATTTTAATCGTTATCGGTGCATCTCGAGCACGCGGCGCGTTGCATTCGCTTTGTATCCTCGGCGATCAAGATGAAATGCTTGCACCATAAAGCCCGAGCTCCGCCCGCGCCAAGTCGCATCGGTTGTCGTCGTAGCGGTTCGCTAAATGAATGCGTGCGAACACGGTGACGTCATTCGAATTGAAAGGAATCTGATATCGCGGCGGAGGAGGCCGGTGGAATCAGACGTGCGACTATTACGGCCCGGTAATAATACCGTATGGGAGATGGCATTGAATACAATTGTCGCGCGAATGCCCTAGTAATATCGTTTACGCTACGCCGTAATCCGGCGATTCTTCACGATGAACGTGGGTGCTCGCGTCTAATGTAGATACGATTATCATTCGATCGCGGTGGGATATGAGTGATAACGCCTGTTTGATTGCCGACGCGGCTTCGTCAACTGCGATGTCTCTGCTGTAAAGAAAAGAATTTTGCGAATAGAAAATGATAATTTTTTTTGGTTAAAAGCAAATATGCTAATCGATTGAGCGACTGCACTAATGATTATAGAATATTAATATAGAGTATATTAATTATAGAATGTTAATGTAATTTAATCAATTGATTTGATGTTTATTTTAACGTTGAGAGATTTCTGGCGATACTTGTTTGAGAGAGTTTTAGTTTTTTTTTTTTTTAATGTAACCAATTTACTTCGTAAATTATTCCACAATTCTGCAATGTATGTGGTAGGATCGTTTCCGTAACACATTACTATATCGTGTCTGGAGCGCTTAATGCAATAACCACCGTCGCTGATGCATATTATCAAATTACCGATACGATAATTATCGACTGCGCTTCGAGCTAAATTGCTGTAACATCGTGTAGAAACATGAAGAAGTAACATTCTTTGTTTCGTTCTTAGCTCGCGCTTATCCGACGATTCAATCTTCGAAAATACAATTATTCGAAAACGGGAGTGGCTCGATTATCAAGTACGAATCGCAATTATTTATCACGATCAGCTCAAAGTGCACGGCTCACTGAACTCTTGGATTATTTTAAAAGGGAATCTAAGTCCGTTAGAGCAGAAACTTTATACTGTTCACTAGAATTAACTTGAAATATTGAATGCGACAATTTTTTTCCCTTTATTACACGTGGTTTACTTTTATACTTTGACCGATAATTTTAATCGCCACAATATTCTCGGATATTTTTAAACGGAATTACGAGTGTTAACGTATTGAGCTCTTTTTTGAGCAGATATTTTTAATTCTTTTATTCTGTTCTTATTGCAACACTATAGCGACCATTTCCAACGCCGATTAACGGACCATTAAAACTCGTCGACAAAGTTGTCAACATGAATGAGACATCGTCGACAAAAGAGAGAAAAGTTTAATATTTTTTTTTCTCCTTTGGTGACATTTTATTATTCTCCAGCGATTCTGTCGACAAGTTCGAACCGTGGAAAGTTAATTGACGTTGGAAAAATAATCACTCTGTAGCTTATCAGAGCTTTTAAAGCGACGCGATTTTAATTCCTCTTAAATATGCTATTTATATTAATCGAATTTAAAGAACACAACTGCGTGACAAGCGCGTTCCCGGCGGAAGTAGTTACGATGAGATATCTAAGCGCGGTCTCGAATACTTGGAAGTTGAATGCAGATAAGGCGTGGTCACGTTTACTACGTGGCACTAATCGTGACTAACGTGTCACGATTTCACGATGAACTTGGATGTGACTCGGACGTTAAAACCTAATCGAAGTTAACGTATTTTTCTTCCTTAACGTATTTTTCTTCCATATGTTCGTTTTCGATTTTGCATTCCTAGTTTTCCACGTTTCACTCCAAATTCCGTGGTTTGAGTCGAACTATAAATCGTGATTTGCGGAGAGAAGAGAAAAAAAGAAAGCGGCAAAGCGACTAATTTTAATTTCTAGATAATCGAAACTGAACTTTATGTTTTCATTCTTCACGAAGCTATTCAAAATGTCATCCGACGGCTTTCCCGTCCTGGTTTGCGTCGCTGTCACGGATTTGTGCCGCGTTTAATCTGCGTCTTACACACTTCACCGGCTGCGAAAACTCGTCGTGTTTTAGGGACGCGTTGTCTTTTTTTTTCCTTTATCGCTTGGCACGACTCGGGACATGATTCGCGTTTTCACCGCGCGGCGATCTCGCACTTTCGTTTCCACTGAAAGGTGGGAAAGAGCGTGAAATCAGGGACGTGAGACGTTTCTTTTGCCGCTTGACGATTTTCACGTATCTGCATCCGCGGGACAAGCCGGATAAATCAAATCTGACGGCACGGCCGCGGGAACGCAATAAAAAAAAGAAGCGCAATGCGGCACGATATTTCCAAGGTCTGCATTTGTATTTATCTTCTCTCTCATATCTAGGGCAGAATCTTGCGCGTAGACTGTGAGGTAATACGTAGGATAAAGTATATCTTATCTCTTTAAACGAAACATCCGTGGAATACGGTAGAAAAGCAAATATATGCAGTAAAATAATCGTGTAAACGTAGCGTCATTCATAGAAAGGAAATAGCGAAGGATTCGAGAAGCCACGAAGTGTGTTCTGATTTTGAAGCCAATCTTTCTGCTCAGAAAACATTTAATGAGATGCCATATTATTTTTTGACTTTTTTTCTTAAATATCTAAAATCACATAAAGTTAATTAATTTCTATTGAAAGATTTATTCGAAATTAAAGAAAAAAAAAATAAATAAAATAGTGTTTATTTAATTAAAAGCTTTTCGTTGCTCATAATTCATAAACAATCTACATTTTGACATTTTTGTGAAAAAAAGTTCGAATCATTCCGAACTGTAATGAGAAATCTGAATTAAAATTTCTAAGCGAATTTTCGCACAGATCACAAAACAAACTTTCAAGCGCGAAAATTACATGGATGACAAATAATCCTGCAGTCCGCGTTTGTCGAAAACTATGCGACAGTCCATTGTGCGACAGGATGAAGGACGTTCTCCGCAATAATACTCTCGTACGTCGATACAATACAGAAACGCCCTCGTAATTATTATAAATTACGTGTCATACGCATGCAAGTATGTGTCTCTTCAGCGTGAGTCACGCGTGCTTGCGCGTGACGTGATCTACGCGCATGTTATAATGTACGTATTTTTTTTTTTTTTTGCAAACTCGGCGCGATTCATTCGTTTGTTTTAATCCGCGCAGAAGCTCGGGCGAAAATAACGGTAGTTCACCGCGGCGTCCGAGAGAAACATGTCTAATTTATTAGTGACGATGTCCAAGGTTAGAACACGAAGCCATGTGTTCGCTGTTTTCAACGCCAAGCTATCAGTCATGACGCGTTAAGGAAAGTATTAGAAAATGTAAATTATTAGAATACGAAGTTCATCGGGTTTTCTGTGCAGTTTTTATGTACAATTCATGTCTCGACTAATGAATGTAGCTAAATATTTCACAAATCGGAGACTCTATTAATACATTATAATAAAAATGTAATGGACGAAAATGATTGTGGATCGATAATATTAAACTATTAAAATTGTATTATTATTACGGACGAGAATGAGGAAAATAATTGTGGATCGATCGAGAGAATAAATTCTTCGCATGCAAAACATGCCACGCGAAATCCTAGAAAGGAAGGTCTCCATTCGGCACGGAGGAATGCAACGCGAGATACCGTTCATTCAATACAAATACTCTTCCCTTCCACCGTACGTCGCGTTGAAAGAAAAACTAGGTTAACCGTCGCGGAATTACATCTCTCGCGTTTTGCAAACGATCGCTATTTTTCGCCGGCAATGCTTGTGGAACGCGAACCGTATCTAGATATTTCATCGCGATTTTTTCGCATCGATAAGACGCAGGACGGTAAGATTTTTCGATTGTAGAAAACGTCGAGCGTGTACTTTTTGTCGACCATTTTTTTTTTTCTCTCTAGAATATGAAAGTATTTTGAGAAGCGAGGCGCACACGCCGTCTGAAATGTTCAATTACCGCGTGATGTGACGGATAAAGTTTTCCTGCAAAGTGTGATTGTTCAGCGCGCAATTATGGATTCCGCTAAGCGCGCCGCAAAAGCGTAGAAACTCGGAGAAAAATTAAAGAAACCTGCCAACGGGATCTCTTTCACGCTTTAATCTCACGCTTGACAGAATTGTTTTGTCATTCGCCGGCCTACCGTTTACAGAGCTTGAAAATCGCCAGACCGTCGTGGAAAATAGCATTGCGGGGGAACCAGTTGTGTTTTTGTGTGCGATGAAAGGAAAGAGTTGATCGTTTGTTAGGCGCAAAAAGCGTCGGAATTCTTCCTGCGAACGTAACGGCGATGCGATAAGAGTCGCTTTTTCAATTCCACGTTTGCAAAAGAGTGGCACAGGTACATATTCTGTCCTCGAAATGTGCGACGGACGTGTCGCTTCCTTTTTTTATCAGGCATTATTTTTACTCACGCTTTTTTTTTATCTGGTTTTTCATTTTTCTTCACGGTGGACTGATAAAAATGATCTCCAGCGTCTCCTCGCTTTCTTATCTCGTTTCTCAGCCTCTTCAAATCCGCTCTATTTATATACCGACGGTATCAATAGCTCGCTTATTTATCGCTTTTTTCGGCTTTTTGATAAAATAAAAGAAGGCGCGTCCACTTACTTTGCGACTGTATACGTGAACACCCTTATCTTCTCGCTGTTATCAGCCGCGGCGGGGTTGTGCGGTCGACCGTAAGGCACGTTTCGTAGAAGTCGTTATTGCCACCCTCCGGCAATTTCGCTCTCCCGTCGAACCCTTCCGCATTGCCCTCGCGTCGCGACGGCGATTGTCGTCTCTCGTTCGTGTGTCGTATGATTCACGCAAGAATAATGGATTCATTTATGGCGCTTTCGCAAATCAAAATTTTTACGTTACAACGTGCGAGACTTTTCCAATTTTTGAGAAGAAGAGCTTCTCAGAGAAATTGCACGAACTAAATTTCTATCCAATTTCTGTTTCTTCTTTTCTAAATCGATTGCTTCGAGCGAATTAAAATTCTGGCTGCAATCAAGTTTTTCCTTTTTTTTTTCCAATCGTCGTATTTATTGTCCGTGTGATGTCGCGGAAGAGTTCCGCAAAGGGAGATTGCAGAGGACCAGTGGTGGGGGCTGGACTCGTCGCTTCCAGCGATAAGCCAGTCTGCTCTCATTTCGCTCTTTAAATTTGAAGGATCCCCGCGAAAGGCCGGCAGGCCCGTTGGGATTTTCCTTCTCTCCTTCGTCCCGCTCCGTTGTTCCCCAGGCGTTCTCTCCTTTTGAGAATCGTCGCGTAGGCCTCGGGCTCGGACGTGTGTGTCAAAGGGCTGATTGTGAACGAGAGGTCGGTCGTGTGATCCCCGGCGCACGCCCACGCGCACACGCACAATGCATCCTCCTCGACCCGATCTTCTTCCGTGCGTGTCCCTCGGCGACATCGTCTTAATGAAAGAATTTATGTCTTGCGAGACACGCGCGACTGGCGAAGTCTTCTTTCGTGTAGGTACTTAACGATACAAGAGACACCGGGATCTCTGTAGCACTTTTTTTGATTTCTAATCAATCTTTCACAACATTCTTCGGAACGCACGTTGCGGAGAGAATTGAAGAATCGCAATTCTTGCGAGGAATATAGCGAATAAGAAGTCACTTGTGAAGTTAGAAATTGATAGATCGCGCAAGTGATTCGATAAAATTCTTCCAAAGATGGAAAAAATTAATTGACCGATGGAATGCGCGAAAGAATTCATTCCCAAGAGTCTCGTGTATCATAATATGGGCGAGTGCGTAGTCCAGATTTGAGTTGCGAAAGAAATTGCATTAGTCGGTGGATTGTTTTACTGGAAAAGGTGTGAGATATAAATTCGTGCGTCTGCGAAATATTGTCTTTCGCTGAGTGGAGCAACGTACGCGCACGTAACGTAACGTGTTCGTCGTTGCGTCGGATCATCATTATTGCGACCAGTAATCGCCAGTGTATTACCTCATCAGTCCTGTAAAGAGCCGTGTGTAAAGGCCGGCGGCCGCTTCCAGCGATGACGGCACTTCTCTCTTTCCTCCGTCAATTTCAATTCTCACGTCTGGCCGAAAACCTCGGCCAATTATTTTTCGACACGGGGTTGCGCAACTCCCCCCTTTTGACCGAGTCGGAAGCCGCAAATCGCGCGGGAGGAAGTCGGCGGGTCTCTGGGCGTTCGTACAATGAAAATCACGGCTATTTTTATTTCGTTGCGTAAATTCCGGTAAAACGCGCAAGGCGGGGCCTCGCGCACAAAACCGGATTACCTCATCGAAAAGATTGATTCGCGAAAACTGTGGCCTGATCGCGATTAGGCCTTTTCGAGTGCAATTTTCTGTTTACTGTAAAACTAAGCGCTGAAAATCGGCGTGCACAACGGAGGCAGATCTTTCGCCGCGCGTATGCTCGTCAGAGCATATCATAGAGCTGTTTTAAATTGCTAATGAAGACATTATTGTCTTTCACCGCGCGCCGAGCGCTATTTCTGCGTGATTTTTCTCGTCGATTCGTTGAGCTTTTAATGAATCGCGCGGACTCGCTCGCTCGAATCAGACAAGAAGCGTAAAGCTGTTGTATTGTTGTCTAATCGGCGAAAGGCTCCGTCATCGATTTTTCTTTTATTCCTCGCGTGTCCCCGAGAGCGTGCGAATTCCATACGGCTGCGATCGTGAAACCGCGAGTCTCCCAGCGCTTAGATGCTCTCCTTCTCTCTCTCTCTCCCCACCTCGGAATGTTAACGACGATCGTTTTGTGCGGCACTGATTCCACACAATTGAGACTGAATTACTATTTGTCCAATGCCGGCAAACGAGGCTATACGATTACTCTCGAGTTGCAGACAACGATGCAAATTCTATATTCCACGGAGCGTGTCGGTCAGGGTTGTTGCTTTAGCGCTCTTTCGCGCACGATATTTGAAGTCCTGTAATTGCGTATATTACGGATGTATTATTTTATTGCACACACGTGCATTTGAGCAAAATAAACAAATGGAATGGAATTGAAGCGAAATTGAAAGATCGCTGAGTTTCTGTAGAAATATTGTCGATTTTTGCACTGTTGTAACTTCGCGAAAAAAAGTTGTACAATTTGTTTAAAAGACGAAGCCTTCATCAAAAAAAATTTAAATCTCGAAAATTTGGCAAATTCAAAGAATTTTATGCAGTTGGAAATATTTCTTTTCCGACTCAAATTTGCATGAATTTTTACTTGTAATTTGGACAGAAAATGATGAAAAAGTCTTCCAAAGAAATTTTACAATTAAATAAAATGAACGAGGACATTCAAAGATCCATAAAATTTTCCTTCCTGTTGTTTAGGATTTTTTTTTATAAATATTATGTTATCGAAGAAAAACGAAATGCGAATAAACGTTTGCGTGAAGGAAAAGGATTATTTTTACTCGTGATACTATTAAAAGTCCTTTTTACCTTATCGTTATTTCTATTGAAAATAAAAAAAAGTTATAAATAAAAGCTGGGCGCTATTTTTATGAGAAAAAAAAGCGCTTACGCGCAATCGAGATGTGCCCTTGTCGCTCTATTCGCTGTGAAGTTCAAGGATGTGCACCCTACGTAGTCGGCGGTTCGACGAACCCTCGAGCAAGAACTGTATACCTACGTTCTTTATTAATAAACGAGATCGTACCGGCGTTGTGCACTGCGAAGTGCGCGTACACTTGGAGAACCCTCGCAAAATATTGATTATTTCGTTGTGTGACACCCTCTGGTCTAGACTTTAGATTAGGGATCTATGGAGAGAGATATATATATATATATATCGCGGCGACACGCGTTTTTCTCCGCTCTGTCGAAATTCAAGAGTATTGAAATAAGTCGTGTTGAGAAGAATTTTTTTTTTTTATTTCTCTTCAGTAATTTTATTACAGCTGAATATGTTTCGATGTCTTAAAACTGAATAAACAATTGTTCTTTTTTGCAATGTGGAAGTGCGGAAGATTTTTCTCATCTTTTTCACTGAAATATTAATTATTAGAGTACGTGTTTTACTTTTTTACAAGTATTTTAATTCAACGCTGTGCGAAAATTAAACTCGTGTATTTAATTTCAGGTACAAATATAGAGCGAAAACATGCCGGAGGAACAGAAAACGGTCGCTGCTCCGCCAGAAGCGACCGCGGAAAATGGAACCGACACGAATTCTCCGACAAAGAGCCCGGTTAACAAGGGAAAACTGGCTCTCGCCAAAATCACCCTCCTCGATGGCACTGTAAAGGATTTCTACATCGATGTGAGTCGTGGAAATATTTGCTCTAACGTCTGTAACGTCTGTAGACGAAGAAAAAAAAAATTTATTTTACAATTATTCATAAATATCGGACCTATTGCAGAGAAAGGCCAAGGGCCAAGAACTTCTCGACCTGATTTGTCAAAGTATGAATTTGCTGGAGAAGGATTACTTCGGTCTTATCTACGAAGACAGACACGATCCGCGCAATTGGTTGGATCTTTACAAAAGGGTCACAAAATTTGTAAAAAGTACGAAAATCACAAAGGAGATCGTTGTTGTGCATAATAAAGGATAACGATACGCCGGACTGGTTTTTTTTCTAACGTTAATGCATATGGTTTTTAGCCGAGCCGTGGAAGTTTAATTTCGAGGTGAAATTCTATCCGCCGGATCCGGCGCAATTACAGGAAGACATCACTCGTTATCAGCTGTGCTTGCAAATCAGAAACGACATCATTACAGGGCGCTTGCTTTGCTCCTTCGTGACACACGCGCTCTTGGGCTCTTATCTAGTTCAATCAGAAGTCGGAGATTACGATCCTGAAGAGCATGGAAGGACCTATTTAAAGGATTTTAAATTCGCACCCAACCAAACGCCCGAATTAGTCGAGAAAGTGATGGACCTCCACAAAACGCACAAGTTAGTTTTACTTTGAGCGCGGATGCTTGTCGCTTCTTCAATAACGATATATCGCTTGTTGTTAACTGACCGATATTTTGTCTTTCAGAGGTCAAACACCAGCCGAAGCCGAACTGCATTATCTGGAAAATGCAAAGAAGCTAGCTATGTACGGTGTGGATCTTCATCCAGCCAAGGATTCGGAAGGCGTTGATATAATGTTGGGCGTATGCGCTTCGGGTCTTCTTGTTTATAGGGATCGTTTAAGAATTAATAGATTCGCCTGGCCAAAGATATTAAAGATATCTTACAAGAGACATAATTTCTACATTAAAATCAGACCGGGTGACTTCGAACAGTTCGAGTCCACAATTGGATTCAAATTGGCAAATCACAGAGCAGCGAAAAAGCTGTGGAAAGTTTGCGTGGAGCATCATACTTTCTTCAGGCAAGTAATAATTGTAATTGGTAGTCTTTTTTTTTTATTCACGACACCTTAATTAGACGAGACATTCTATTTTTTTTTTCTATAGGCTTATGAGTCCGGAGCCTGTGAAGAAAGTGGGATTGATTCCGCATCTGGGATCCCGTTTTCGATATTCTGGAAGAACTCATTACGAAACGAAAAAGACTCCTATCGATAGACAACCTCCGCAATTCGAGAGATCTTTGAGTGGCCGACGACTCGCGTCCAGAAGCATGGATGGTAAAGAAAATTTCTATTGAATGTGTGATATTTGTGTGTACACACACGCGCGCGCGCGCGCACACACACACACACACACACAGAGGCATACCTCGGAATGAAAATATTGTATTAATTGTAGCAATTAAAGTCTTCACTAAATTATCATTATTAACACATACATTGAAACTTGAATGCGCGCGCGCACACATACACACATGTTCAAGTTTCAATACATTTAATGATGATAATTTGTTAGTGAAGACTTTAATTGCCACAATTAATACAATATTTTTATTCAGAGGTATGCCTGATTTAAAAATATCTCGTTAAGACTCTCAGTTTGCAAGAGCATGAGTTTTCATCATTAGAGCGGCATCATTTTTCGATTGAATGTAATTGTTTTAAGAAAATGTTACTCTCTTTCGAAAGAATATTCATTGTATAAACCACAAGTGCCTTTTTACAATCATGCTTCTAAGTCTGTACTATACTAAGATGTTGAAGTAGTGTGACTGCCTTACACAGCATTAGGTGGACCCAAGCCAGTGGAAACGTACGGTTCCGAGCCAAGCAAACGGCATACCATGAGCTACGAGCCTGAAATGCTTCCTGACGATATAGAGCACATAGACCGACGGCCTAGCCCGATCAAGAAGCAAAAGGAGAAGGTAATACATTCACATATGTCGGTCAGTTGATCATTTTTCTTATGGTTAAAATAACTTGTTAGACCGTAGATTATCATGCATGAATTCATCATGCGAACGTGAAACTAATTTTCCACTTAGGGCAAAATTTATAAACGATGTGTGTCGTGATTCCTTTAACTCTCGTCTGCGCTTTCAAACCAGTTATTTACTTGCAGGAAAGAGATGCAATTAATGTGTATGCTTTGTGGAATATAATACATAGATTTTTTGATAAATTAAAACTTCAGTAACATGCATACGGTGTTTCTATAAAAAATTTTTATCAGGGAAGTCGCAGAACAATTGGCTCATGTTCTCTCCCAATGCGTGGGTGAGTCAATAAAATAGATTTATACCGTTCATATATATATTTATATATTAATATATTCCGTACTGGCATGTACCTACATTTATACACTGTTTATTGACTTACCCGCGCATAGCGCGATAAATTTTTATATACACTTTACGCGGATTCGAGTCCGTTGTATAATGTCGCAATAAAAGCATGTCACACGCAATTTATACAACACACGTTCTTTAACATGCAATAGTAAAAGCGTACACAAATCGGTGAAATCACGTAAAAGACGAAGAAATCAAAGTTGTGAGAAAGTATTTTTTTTTCCCTTTTTTTAGTTTTGTAACATTGATAGCCGTAATTATTAACTGACACATAACTAACACCAATAGCTCACACGAAAAACAAGTGCTGGAACAACATCAGCTAGCAGCACCAGTAGCCTGGAAGGAGAATATGACGCAGATCGTGGGAGAAAGGTATAGAATTTTATCTGAAACACTCTTTCGCTTTAGTTTATTCTGTATATCAATGCAATGTGTGGTCATTTTTTTTTGTATGAGACCATATTTGGTGTTTTGTTCCTTCCAAATGCATGTTGCTACTTTTTTTTGCCTTTATATCCTTTGCAAACAACGGTTATCGCCTCAATGTTGAGATGTTAGTTACCCATTTAACATTTAGCAATATTAGCAGTCCAAGCATGCGAATTAATAAGAACTTGAAAGATTACTTTGTCGTTGTTTAGACATCTTGATGAAACTATCGTATATGAAAGAAATAACGCTCAAGTGACTAGCGTGAATTGTTTCACAGAATCCTGTCAAACGGATATTTTAGTATTGCAAGACAGATTTTGACGAGTGATAACTTCAACATACATATTTTGAGAGCGCAGACCGTAATCCATACAGCATGCATTGCATTTTCATAATGTAGTGCTGCGTAGTTTTTAGTATTATTTTAGCAACGTAGTGGCTTTATGCTTGTTGCATGAAGCGACGTGTGATTGGATAAATTTATTTATAGAAACCGGTCGGAGGAATCGCTGTCCTACCGCCCGGTGGTCTATCAAAGAAGAAGAAGGATAAACAGAATGAGAACGAAAAAGAAAATCACAATGATTTAAATAATTCTGATCTGATTAATGACAATGCTCGTCTCGACAAAATCGACGACAAACCGTTGTCTAAAAAAGAATTGAAAAAGAAGGACAAAGAGACCCCCGAAAAAACGGATAAAGAAAAGAAGGAAAGAATCAAGGTAAGTTTATATTGTGTCGTACGCGTTGCTGCTTCTTATTATGAAATATGTAATACGTAGATTGAGAGAGCATCAAACATTTCTTTTTTATAAGCTACATCCATGAATAAGATATTGATCGTCGTCGTTATTTTTGTAAACGCTCGATTTTCAATCAAGTGCTTTATCAGGCTTTGATAATATTCAGAGGCTGTTCGATTGAATGCATAATTATTCTTCAATTGAATGTATATATATATATATATTTTTTTTTGATGAACAGTAGTAGAGTATTTCTATGAAAATGATAGATTTATGTTAATATATATAGATATTATTAGTTTTTTGTTTAAATGTGAGATATATATTTTATGCATATCATATGTATAGCATGTATTTTGTACTGCATGTATTTTTGTATATTATCCAAGAGTCCCGTCGGCGCTTTCCTGTTTGCTAAGAAGGATAAGGATAAGGATAAGAAACAGAAAAAGAATAAAGAGCTCGACGAATCTGTGGAAAAGAGCGATGTCGAGTCGAATCTTTCGACGTTGGAGAAGCAAGAGAAAGACGCCGATAAAAAGGCAGACGCGGAAAAGATAGTGCAGGACCCGACGAAATCCCCTCAGCTTCCTGGTTACACGAAACCTTACGATTACGAAGAAACGGAGGCCACGAAAAAGCCGTTCACCCCGCACGGCTTCACGTACGAAGATAGACCCGCGTCGCCGGGAGTGCAGGATCAAGCATCGCCGACTAGTCGAAAAGCTACGGGATTGGCGTTCAACTATGCGCCGGGAGAGGAGAAAAAGGTGGCGGAATCGGCGGAAAAGAGGAAAACGAAAGAGGCGGACAAACTGGCGCCGGGATTGAAGACACCCGGGCTGAATTATGTGGAATCGGCCGGCCTGAAGGAGCAGCAGAAGAACGCCGCGAAGCCAAGCACCGAGAAGGATCACGCGACGGCTTTGATCGCCGGTGAGCGTGAACACGATGTCGTCACTCGGCCAACGGTGCCGCCGCCGCCGGAACCCAAGGCGGACCGTCACATTCTGCCCCTTCCCGATCGCTCGAGGGTCATCGGCGGCGTGATCTACGCCAAGGAGGGAAGGCCGTTGGACCAGAGCCATCTCGGACCGGACAACGGCAAGGTGATAGACGGCAAGGTTTGCGGAAAGGACAACAGTCCGCTGAAGAAAGGTGAATTCGGGCCGCACGGACTTCACATCAGTAACGGCCTGATCACGGGAAAGGATAACAAGCCCGTCGAGCAGGAGATTCTGGGCACGGATAGGAATTCCATAAAGAACGGAGTTATTTATTCTTCCAGTGGCGAAGCGGTGAAACAGTCCTTCCTCGGGCCGGATCATGCGGTGATCAAGGAGGGAAGAGTGCTGAAGGGCGGCAAACCGGTGCAACATTGTCAATTAGGCGCGGACGGTACGTACGTTAAGGAGGGTCTCATATTCACGGCGGGCCACAAGCCGCTGACTCAGGGATCGTACAACACGGACGGAAACTACATAGTCGCCGGTATAGTGTGCAACGAAGAGGGCAGGCCCTTGAATCAAATTGCGGTTGTGCCCGATGAGACGTTCATCTGCGACGGCTTGATTCACGGACGGGACGGGAAACCGCTCGGCACCGGAAAATTAGGCGTCGACGGCCATTACGTCGCGGAGGGTAAGATTTATTCCAAGGACGGCAAACCGATCAGAAGCGAGTCCTTCAGCTCCGACGGATCCGTCGTGAAGGACGGCATCGTTTACTCGAAAGACGGGAAATTCTTGACTCAAGGATCCCTGCTGCCGTCCGGTGCTCACTTGAAGGATGGAAAAGTCGTCGGAAAGGACGGCAAGCCGATTAAGCACACATTTTATAAATCGGACGGCAGCTTCGTGAAGGACGGCGTGATATACGCAAAGGACGGCAGACCACTGAGTCAAATTCCATTGATAGCAGATGGCAATTCCATCAGAGACGGATTGGTGCACGACAGAAACAACAAGCCGCTGATTCAGAGTCTCTTCAAGCCCGACGATCTTACAATCAGAGACGGCATTTTGCGCAACGCGGACGGCACGGCGCTGTCGAATGCCGTTCTCGGCGCGGACAGATTAACGATAAAGGACGGCGCTGTTCTAAGCAAAGACGGCAAACCGGTGAAGCAGGAGTCGTTCGGTTCGAACGGCAGTTACATAAAGAAGGGTGTCGTTTACGCGAAGAACGGAAAGCCGCTCAATCAGGATTCGTTGGTGCCCGAAGGCGCGGCCATTAGAGACGGCAAAGTGTACAGCAGGGACGGCAAGCCGCTCAAGTTCTCGTTCTTCAAACCCGACGGCAGTTACGTGAAGGACGGTCTGATTTTCGGCAGCGATGGTAAACCGCTCAACTTGCACGCGGCCCTGCCGGAAGACAGCTTCATCGCCAACGGCGTGATATTCGACTATCTGGGGAAACCCTTGAGCAGAGAAACATTCGGCTCCGACGGCTCGTACGTCGCCGGTGGATTGGTTCACGGGAAGGACGGCAGGATCGTGGCGCAAGGTGTGTTCGGTCCGGACGGCAACACGATTCGCAACGGCGCCGTCATCGGCCGGGACGGCAAGCCGTTGACGCAGGACGACAAAGGCCCGGACAATCTGGCGGTGAGCAACGGCAAGATCGTGGACAGCCACGGGAATCCGAGGAATCTACCGTCGTTAATACCCGACGGTTGTTACATACAAGACGGAGTGGTGTACGACAAGAACGGGCAGCTGTTGAAGCAAGGCGCGTTCAAACCGGACGGATGTTACATCCGTGACGGCCTCGTCCACGGCTGGGGCGGTCAACTGCTGAACGTGGGTTCCGAATTGCCCGGCGGCAGCTACATCGAGGAAGGTAGGATATACGGCAAGGACGGCAAACCCTTGAATCACACCGCGTTCGGTACCGAGGGCAGCTTCATCGAGAACGGCATTGTTTACGGGAGGGACAAGGCGCCGCTCGGCCACGGCACACTTGGCAACGACGGCAGTTACATACAAAACGGCCTGCTGTACGGGCCGAACGGGAAGCCGCTGAGCAAGAGGCAAACTATAATCACGGTCACGCTCGTTCGTTACGGCTTGGTGTGCGACAACGACGGCAAGCCGCTGAAGTTTGGCAATTTCGACGATGAGGGCAGCGTGATCAGAAACGGCAGGATCTACAATCCCACCGGTGGATATCTGAATCAAGATGCTTACGGTCAGGACGGCAGTTTCATCAAAGACGGCTTGATTCACGGACGCAACGGGAAGCCCCTCTCGCAGGGCGCTCTGCCGGCGGAAGGTAGTTTCGTCAAGAGCGGCAAGATTTACGACGCAGGCGGCCAGCCGTTAACTCAGGAAGCATTCGGGCCGGAAGGTCTGAAGGTCATACAGGGAGTCGTGGTGGACAAAACCGGCAAGCCGGTGAAGCAGGCGGACTTCGACGGCGAAGGGAACGTCGTCAAGGACGGAATAATTTGCGCGGCCACCGGCAAACCGCTCGACAAACACTTCACCACCGTCACGATCACGATGGTGCGTAAAGGATTGGTGTGCGACAAGGACGGCAAGCCTATCGCCCGTGCGCCGTTCGGCACCGACGGTGGCTACGTTAAAGACGGCAAGATACACGACAAGTTCGGAAAGCTGTACAATCAGGAACTGTTCGGCGAGGATGGATCGTACGTGAAGAACGGCGTGATACTCCAGAACAACGGCCAGCCGGCGGACAGCACGACGATTCTCAAGGACCTGCAAGAACCGCCGAAGTCCGTCTCCACGAAGCTGAAGAAACCCGCGATCCCGGCTACGATACCCACAATCGTGAAAACGACGACTAAACAATCGGTGGTGAAGGATCAGGAAGGCGTGACGCAAAATATCCAGGAGAAGATCGAAGATCTGACACCAGGTGGCACGGGTCAGGTTACAGTCTCTACTCACGTGAACAAGGTGATCTACTTGGAAATAATAAGAACATTAACTTAATCACCACATGTCTCTAAGACGGGAATTTAACAGAGCATCAAACAGAACATAGAGTAATGTATGAGAATAAAAGAGAAGAAAGGCCTGTAAGAACCAAAGCGCGGATATCGGAGCGTCAGAAGATTATTATCAATTAGTAGCGATACAGAGATCACTTTGTATTAATTGATAATGAAATTTTTTCGCCATATCCGCGCTTTGATCCTTATAGTTTTTCTTCTACTCAACGAACACGTTCTTATAATTGCATATATCGATTTAATCCATATTTGGAGTATTTCTCTTTATTTTTGTGCCCCATTCGAGTATATTGCATGAAATTGAATAGATTTGTCTAGAATTAGTATGCATCGCTAGAACTCCAGACTTTTGTAATGATGTAATTTAGCGAAGAAAGTATGCCGAGTATTTCTCTTGAAGTAAAGGACTTGAAACATTTTGTACGTTATAACAGTATCTGTTACCCTCATTTTATATACATTCATTATATTATCATTATAGTTGTGTGTCTTGAGACCTTAGTCACGTAGTAGTTGTATTTAGGCGGAGGCACCGGATGATGGTAGAACTCCATACATATCGGCGACAGCTGTCACCACTCGTACCGCCACGATGCATGAGGATCTTGAAAAGAATCAAAAGACCAGTCAGGTTTGTAGTTATTTAGCGGCATTTCGTAGGATATTAATGAATTTATTTGAACATTGCGTGCGATAAGAGTAGTTTTGGGCGTAATATAAATATATCTTTCGTGTATCGTTTCTCTTTTTTTTTTATGTACTTCTGTCATCATTTGCTACAATTTATTTTTTATATTAGGTAGAAGAAAAGACTGTAGCGCATACAACTGCAACTAGTGCAACGAGGCAAGAGCAACGAGTAGTGACGCAAGAGGTTCGAACCACGAGTCACGTGCTTTCCGGCGAACAGGTGATTGTCTTCTTTCTTCCTTTTCCTTTTGAGAAGAAATTAACGCTTCGTAATAATCAGTGAGGCATGTGAGCGTTTTTTTTTTTTTTTGCAAATTGCTGTGTATTATTTAGATTTTGATCTAACTATCATTTCATGTAATCGTGCTGTACACATACGATCATTTTGCCCATGATTATAACATAAAACCGCTTCACACATATTAATATATGTGTTTAAGGGTTTTTAGTTGAATATTTTTTGAAATTTGTATTATATTTTAACATTTCATCAGTGGACATACACTTGTATAAAGTAATGCTCATTTTAAGTACACGAATTAATTACGGATGCGATGCCTCCAATTTATATCGATAGTTTATAAGTATCATTTATTGCTCATAACAGAGTTGTTAATTTTTTTTTTTAATTTTTTATCTCTTGTAAATAATTTTGGCGGCTTGGTTAACACGTTGCATGGTGTAGCTGTTCTCACGAAGATTAAGTACGTCGAGCTCGAGCAGTGGAGATTCAGGCACGCCGATTGATCTTGATGATGATCAGCAAGCTTTCTACAATCAATATTATCAGGTAATTGATTGAAGCGACGGTCGAAAACTTTCCTCTATGAATATGGAATGTGGAAGATTATGCATGTTAAAGCGACGGGTAATTAACAGGTATTTGTGCACACGAAAAATTTGGTACTATTTTATCCCAGCAGCCGTTCTCTCCAGTCCATCTGCGTGCATCTGGTATTTTCGCTCACATTCTTGTATTGCATAATACTTTTAAAAAAAATTGTGTCTTGCATTATTTCGCAAAATGTCCAGAAACAAATGCCGAAAACTGTTCTACAACTTTTACACCATTTCGTCGAGAGATGAAAGATAATATCGCAAATGTGATATGTCAGTAAATGAATTTGGAAGAGTGATTTGCTGTCTATATTGTCCATTATGTGTGTATTCCTCGTTAATTTTCAACAACCTCCGTTAATTCTAACATAATTCATCACTCTTACCGATCATTGATTTGGCACGAGTCGCGAAGTAAAAAGATCTTTGTGCAAATTTTGATCCAGGGAGATCCGGCTGTGATCTTAACTGAGAAGCACGTTTACGCGGGCGAACCAGACAGCAACGTGACAACGACAACTACGGTACCTGTAGTGGCGACGGAGACGAGGAAAGTAGCTCTAGAGAGCGAAGACGGTAACTATAGCGCCTCGGGAGAGATAGTCAGCACGCAGACCATATCCAGTAAAACTCGTACTGTTGAAACCATCACGGTTGGTATACTGCGAGAATCAATAAAGTTTTTTCCGCTTTGCGACTTTCCATTAATCGCTGGTTGTTGTACTTGCAGTATAAAACGGAGAAGGACGGCGTGGTTGAGACGCGGGTAGAGCAGAAGATCACGATACAATCGGATGGCGATCCAATTGATCACGATCGGGCTTTAGCGGAAGCAATACAGGAAGCTACTGCTATGAATCCTGACATGACAGTAGAAAAGATAGAAATACAGCAGCAGACGACGCAGTAATTATTTAAAAGCTATTCATCATACATGCATACGAAAAGGGGCACTCTTGGTCTATAAACGGCACGAACAATTTGTAATCTTTAGAGGTTAGAGAAAGGTAAATTGGTATTTACATAAATTCGTATTATATATCGCACGCATTGCCGAATGCGTCATAAAAAGAAACCAGACTGAAATATGCTATAAAAGATATGTCGATAAATCTTTAAATAATCTATAAAGTTAATATAAAAAGCAAGAGAGGAACAATATTAAGCTATATATCTTTTTGTTTAAAAAAAAAAAAGGGGTCTGAAAGAAAAATTTCTGCTTACAACTTGCCCAAATGATTCGAGCTTAAACTCGGTTCAAAATCGAGTTTTTGGTAGTTGGAAAAGAATGAGAATATTGATGAAAAAATTTTTAATGAAGAGAATGGTACCTCGTACTATTTAACTACAGTGTTCATATTAAAATAACTAAGAAAGTGTATTTATATGCACGAGAGCATAAATAAATCTTATATATAATGTATACATAGCTATGTATGTATGTAAACAAATGAATAAGCTATTTATACATATAGTTATGGCGATAACTATAGTTATAAAAGACGGGGTGCCCTGCAACTTAAGATTTTGATAACGAGCATTTCATAATGATAAACACGAATATAACTACAATCACATACATAAAAGGTTCTATATGATGCGATAATTACATAAAATTTTGCAATGTCGAAATCCTTGTAGAGTCAATGAATCCTATTGAAAGCATGTTCCCTCCGAGTTAACTAAATTTCTCCACCGTTCTCGAAAGAAAATGTCATTACTTTCTCTCTTTCATCTTTGAGTATAATAGATTGCAGACTGTTAAGTAAAATATTCTGATTCACAATGTTCATATAAAGAACCGCACGCACATAAAGACAGCACGCATGTCCAAAATCGAGACATAAGACATCTTAAAGACATCATTAAGACGTCTTTTAAATAACGTGTCTAAAAGGCGTCTTAATGACGTCTTTTAGATAACGTGTCTAAAAGGCGTCTTAATGACGTCTTTAAGCCGTCTTATGTCTCGATTTTGGACATGCGTGCTGTCTGGGAAGCGAGTAATGTATGTTGTTATGGATTTTATTAATATTGATTTCGCGAAAAGACTTATCAAAGATGAATCGATAGAAAGTAATTTTATATAATAGTTAAACAAGATATCTCTCTATATACGTACTGTCTGTTGTAATGCTTCAACGCAATAAGATAAGCTTTTCGGCAAAATTATATGTATAGTTTGACTATCTGTGAATTGATATCGACAAATGGTTATTACATAACATTGTGTAACAGAAATCCGGATCGTCTGAATATTAAATACTATATACACATACTTTACACACATATATACATACATACGACAAATATAAACATATTTGAGATCATCATAGTTTCTTATATCTGAAAACTGTTAATGTTAGCCATTACGTTATAGGAAGAATACGAAAAATTACGTTTATAACGTTGCATCGTTTTTCATGTTGCAGTTATATAAAAATTATGAGAAATACAATATTAATGGAAACTATGTAGATTTCATTAGATTTCGTTTATGCTATAACTTTTATATATATGTACATATATATAAAATAGCACAAACGAATTATATATATAT